TCCAATTTTCTGTAGTTTTATCATGAGGGGGTTTTGGACTTTGTCAGAAGCTTTTTCTGCATCTATTATGATGGTCATGTTTTTTGCCCTTGGCTCTGTTAATACAGTATATTACATTTATGGATTTACATATGCTGAACCATCCCTGCGTCCCTGCATCCCTGGGATGAATCCTAGTTGGTCTTGGTGTATAATCTTGGTGATTTGCTACATTCTGTTTGCCAGTGTCTTACTGAGAATTTCTGCATCTATATTCTTTAGGGAGACTGACCTATACTTCTCTTACCTGGTTGGGTTCTTTTATAGTTTTGGTAATAGGAAAGTGCCTGCTTCCTGGGATGAATTTTGGGGTATTGTTTCCCTTTCAATGTCATTAAAGAGTCTGAATATCCTTCAAAATGTTTTGAAGTCCTGGTTTGGTGTTCATGAATTTCTCAGGTGTTCTTTGTCATAGAAGTATCTTATTTCTCTATCAATTTTGAAAGATAGTTTTACAGGCTATATAAAACTGAGTTGGAGACTGTTTTCTTTTAAGGCTTAATTTTGAGGGTTTGTGTTGACAATACTCAGAAATCAATAGCATTCCTATACACGAACAACAAAATCACAGAGAGGGAAATAAGAGAAACTGGACTATTCACATTAGCAAGCAAAAAAATGAAATATTTAGGAATTACTCTTACGAAAGAAGTGAAAGACTTATACAGTGAAAATTATAATACACTGAAAAAGGAAATTGAGGATGATCTCAGAAAATGGAAAGACATCCCTTGCTCCTGGATAGGAAGAACAAACATTGTGAAGATGGCCATTCTTCCAAAACTGTTATACAGATTCAATGCAATCCCAATAGAAATACCATACCTTATAGATCTAGAGAAATCACTCCTAAATTTCATCTGGAACCAGAAGAGACCTAGAATCGCAAAGGCAATTCTAAGCAGCAAAGACAAAGCAAGAGGCATCACAATCCCTGACTTGAAGTTATACTACAAAGCAACAGTAGTAAAATCAACATGGTATTGGAATCAAAACAGAGCCGAAGATCAATGTAATAGATTAGAAGTCTGTTGTGATTCTAATGGACTTTATAGATGATTTGTTTCTTTTCTCTAACATCTTTTAATATTGTTTTGTGTCGAATTTCTGTGATCTTGACTATTACACACCTTGCTGTAGATTTGTTTTTCTTTGATCATGGCTAATAGGAGTTCTGTATCTTCACTTATCTGTATGTCAAATTCTTTTTTTCATGCTTGGGAAGTTTTCCGCCATAAGTTCTGTGAACAGGTTTTTACGTCATTTGTGCTATCTCCTGCTTTTTCATTGACTCTGGTTAATCTTATGCTATTCTTTTTTGCATCATCTAGCAGCTGCTGGATCAGTTTCTCATGGTCCCTTGCTATTTTTTTAAGGAATCTTTCTTTTCATGGTCACTAATCACAATCCTGCATTCTATATCTGAGATTCTGTCCTCACATTGGTCCACTGTGCTGTGTGTGCTTTCAATGAAATTTTTAATCTCCTGGGTATCTGTCTGAATCTATTTCATGGATTCCACTTCTTTCCTACATTGGGCATTCATGGTTTCCATCATTTTCCTTAGCTCCTCTATTCTTTTTATCTGTATGTGCTCTGGAGTCTTTAGCCATGTCTTTTGTTATGTCCACCATCTCTGTATGTATCTGAGAGATTATTCTGATTTGATTTTTTTCTAGAGATTCATTCATCTCCTTGTTACTTCTATCACTACCACTTTAGAGTTTAGGTGGGTAGCTTTCGAATTGTTGCTTGTCACTGCCCCTGTGTTTGCCTTTAGCAAGCTGGAAGTCTGGAATGGCATCTTGCTTAAGTGTCTTCTCATTTTCTTTCTTTTGCTTTTTCTTTTTTGTTTTGTTTTGTTTTAATTCCTGTATTGATGCTTATAAATTACTTATGGGAGGTAACTTTATTGCTGCATTTAGAATCCTTAGGAAATGACTACTTCTCTGAGATGTCTTCTAGGTGTAACTGGCTTTTGGGTTTTGAATCTGTTGCAAGATCCTACCTCTTCAACTTATTGGGGATGAGAAGTTGCTTCTCATTTGGCCCAGCCCCTGGTTTTTTTTAGCACTGTCCTATAGTATTGTTTATGATCCTTATGCAATCTCAGTCTTGGCATACCAGGAAGAACTGATTAGAACAATTATGTCATGTTAGCTAAAGTAGTACAATCAGCAATAACACAGCCTAGAAAATGACACACTGTGGTAATTATTAATTTGCCACCTTTAACTATGAAATATATTTATGGTTATATAACACAATCTAAAACAGATCAGACCCTGTCTCAAAAAGACAAAAAAAATTTAAAGAACCAGAAAATTCTATTCAGTAAATATGCCCTCAATATGGTGACTTTACCCTCAGGGGAAAAAATTTGAAAGGAGTTAGGAAAACAGAGATTTAAATACCTAAGTACTTTTGGGGGTGGGCAGGGCATATCAGGAATCAAATTCAGAACCTCAGGTTTGTCAGTCAAAACAGGGAAATAGAAGAGGAAGAGATTAGAAGCAAGGAAGATTATACAAACTCTGGGAAACTGATGAAGAAGACAGGAGGGAAAGAGAAAAGGAAAAAATACAAACAAGAACAAAATAGAATAACAACAAAAAAACTATAAACAATTGTTAACACTAATATGAAATCAAGAGCAAACAAGATAAAAAGAAGGAAAAACAAAAGAAGAAAAAACCCATTTCAGGGTGTACTATCACTGGTAGACAAAGTAGGCACACAGCCCAGACCTGTGTTGATTAATCCTAGCAAGCCATAGATTTATAGCAAACCCCAGCAAGCCTGCACCTTTTGTTCCACTGAAGTTCAGGCTGGCTTGTGGCTGTCAGGCTGGAACCATATTTGTTCAGCCTACAACATTCCATGCACCTCCTGTGGGCTTGAATTTAGCTCCTTGAACTCCTACTGACTTGAGCTTGGTTCTGCCTCACCTGACAATAGAAGCCACTAGATGGACCCTTACAGTTTCTCTGTGTTCCGAGCCCGGTTTGCCTAAGTGGTTATCAGGCAATTGCTCTCTCAGGGAATACCCAAATAACTCCTCACCCACTGCAGTCTGCCACATCCACCACTCCACTCCACTGGTACATCTCTCTGTAAAGTTCTCTGGTGTTGCCAGATGGGGGGTTGCAGGTTCAACCCCCCCATCTCACCCGCACCACACAGTGAGCCAAGGCTCAAGAAAATGCAGTTGAAACCTCCTTAAATGCAGAAGCATTTAAATGTCTCTTTGTTCTCCTCATGGGCTTCAAATCTTGCTTCAGATCCTCCCCAGGTACCAGGGCCTGCTTCCTTCTCTTCCTCATATTACTATATGCTACCATTGGGACACCAAATCTTAGTGAGGTTGTTTCTCTGCTGTTACCCCTCCACCATATTCCTGGAAGTGCTGTTTCTGCTTTTTAACTCTTATATGTAAACATGTATGCTTTATTCTCATGGACATATATCCCAGGAGTTGCTGGGCCATGTGGTAATTGTGGGGGTTACATTTTGAGGTACTGTGCAACTCAACTGTGAGGTGCTGTGTATTTCAAAGCCAATGCACCATTTCACAGTTTCAGCATCAACTACATAAGGAATATGTGAGGACCCCAAATTCTCTATGTCCTCGGCAACATGTTCTTTTCCATCTTTTTCATTATACAGATCCTGCTATGTGAAGCCTCTTGAGGGTCATAATTAGTGTTTCCCAGTGACTACAGAAACTGAGCATCTTTTCATGTGAGTGTTGGGAGCCGTATCATGTTTGAAAATTTTTGAGAGCTAGATATGGTAGTGCACATCTAAAAGCCCAGCACTTGGAAGGCTGAGGCAGGAGGATCACCATGAGTTTGAGGCCAGTCCTGGATACACAGTGTGTTCAAGGCCAGCTTGGAATACATAGTGAGCCCCTGTCTCAAAAATAAGAACTAGAAGAAGAAAGAGAAAGAGAAGAAAAAAAAGGAGAACAAGAAGAGGAGGAGGAGGAGGAAATGTTGAAATTCTGTGTTCATTTTTAATTTAATAATTTGTCTTTTTATTCTTTATATATTCTAGATGTTATGCCCACGCAAATACTTCCTTCCATTCTGTGGACTTCTCTTCATTTTGAGGTAGCAGTCTTTGTTTGGTTTTCTGTTTGTTTTCTGAGACAGTGTCTTGCTATGTAGTCCAGAAGGGCCTTGAACTCACTATGTAGCCCAGTCTGGCCTGGAACTCAAGGTGACCCTCCCGCCCAGATCCCCAAGTGCTGAGATTACAGGTGTGCACCACCATGCCTGGTGTGAGCAGTATCCTCTGAAGCATGAAAGTCCAATTTACTACTTGTTTTTCATGCATGTCAAAAGTCATGACAATTTTCATTGTTTAATTTTTGGTTAGCTCTTTCATTTAGGTCTTTGATCCATTTTGAGTTTTTACATATGGTTTGAGATAGGAGTTCAATTTCATCCTTTTGCACCCAATGATACAAATACCATTTACTGAAAAACACTATTATTTTCCCCCATCAAATTGTTGGTAACCTGGTTGAAACATATGTAAATTCCCCATTTAATGTATTGGATTATTTGTGGACTCTCAATTCTACTCCATCTTTCTATGTCTATTTTTATGGTATTACCATAGCCTTTTTTTTTATTTTTTAAATTGGTACTGGGGATTGAACTCATGACTGTGTTTGCAAGGCAGTACTTATGCCACTGAGCTAAATCCCCAGCCCCTACCATACAGTCCTGATTACTATAACTTTATGATAAATTTTGAAATCAGTTTTAATTTTTTTTTTTTTTTTTTTTTTTTTGGTACCGGGGATTGAACTCACCTCACATTTGCCAGGCAGGCACTTATGCCACTGAGCTAAATCCCCAGCCCAAATTTTGAAATCACGAAGTATAATCAAGTTTTTTTCTGACATTCAACAATTGTGGGTCCATATGAATTATACATCAGCTTATCAATTTCTGGAAAAATTCCAGCTCAGTTTTTTTTTTGTTGTTGTTGTTGTTTTGTTTTTGTTTTTTTAAGAGAAGCTCTCACTATGTAGTTTCAGGGTTCAGCCTCCCAAGTGCTGCGATTACAGATACTGTACCACTACACCCAGTTCTGATTTTCATATGTTCTACCAACTTCGCATTCCTGAAAAACTCCCTACTTGGTCATGGTGTATAATCCTTTTTACAGGATGTGGGTTTAGCTTGCCAGTAATCTGTAGAGAACTTTTGTGTTTAAATTTGCTGAAACAGCGTCACAGTGCTGGCGTCCAAGTAACCCTTATGACCTAATAATGGCCTCACATGCAAGAACAGTGGGTGGGCAGTTCATGTGCCAAAGCAGCACAGAACGCTCCTTTCAAGTGCACTCACAGGTGAGAAGTCTTGACGTAGGCTTGGTAGGATCCACCGTAGGTTTGGGCATGTATCCTCCATAGACAGGGAAGGACACTGTAATTAAGCTGCCGCTAAGGTGTCCAGAACAAGGACAGTGCAGAAGAGACCAGCTGTATGAGTGACACGGATGGAGGTGGAATAAGGGTTTGCACAAAGGGATAAAGTCCCACGAACATTGGACTGATCAAACCGAGAACAGGGCCTTTTCTTTCTTTTCCTTTCAAATTGAGAACAGGGTCTTTCCCTTTCCCTTTCTCTTTCCCTTTCCTTTTCCCTTCCCCTCCCTTCTCTTCTCTTCTTCTTTTCTTTTTGAGATAGGGCCTCACTGGTCCAGGCTGGCCTCAAATTCCCTGACTCAGTGGTCTTGCCTCAGCCTCCCAACTAGCTGGGAGCACATGTGTGTGCCACCCACAGCCAGCTTTGCTTTTCATGCAGATTTAAAGCAGTTTAGAGCACAACAGGGAGGAGACATTGAACAAGACTGTGTCATGGGCAAAATAAGAGTCAGAGGTCTGTGCTCTTGAGGACAACACTGACAGAGCAGGGATTGGAGGCAGGTGCCCTACTGTTCCTCACAGTCAAAGCCAGGACAGAGTCACATTGGACACAGCCACCAAACGCCTAAAGTTACACTATGGCCCTTCCTCTACCAGGTTTGGACTTTTAATGTTCTCCAAGGGCCATGCACTGAAGGCTGGGTCCTCGCCTAATGACACTCGGGAGCAGTGGATTCACTAGAGGTAGGGCCTCCCAGGAGGAGTTAGGTCCCCAGGAGTCCTTGATAGGCCATAGGGAGCCTGGCCTGTCCGTCTCTGCTTCCTGGCTGCCGGGTGGGAGGCAGCCCCATCACGTGATCCCACCTCCACCACGCACTGCCTCACTGTAAGCCCAAAGCAACAGGGCCAGGCAGTCCTAAACCAAACTCTCTCAAACCAGGAGCCCAAAGAAATTCTCCTTTAAGCTGTGACCTCAGGTACTCCGTCACAGCAGTGGAAAGCTGACACATTCTATGCTAGTTGGGTGGTTTGGGGCAATTTATGAACACTGGCTTGAGAAGAATGAGATGAGTTCTTACTGTAAGCCCACAGAACAATCCTGTAATAACAGATGACATTTAAGTACTATTTTCCTCACCTAGAGAAGTACTTCTGGAGTACTAGCCCAAAGTAGTGAGCCAAAGATTAGAACCCTGAGATTTTCAACAGTCCTGGAAACTGTTGACACATGCTCTGGGTACAGGCTAGGCAAGCTTGCCACCACTTGCTATATCCCCAACTTTTAAAATTTGCTGATAGGCTGTTGTTAAATTTCCCAGGCTGGATCATGAGACTGCCTGCTCCACCCTCTGAGAGGCTGAGATATTGGGCCTGCATGCTGTGCCTGGGCTCTGGCGTGGACTCCTGGCCAGAATCTTCACTTTTATTCCCTCCCTTCCCTCTCACTCAACAGTCAGTAGTGCTGCTTAATGCTTCTGAGCACAACTTGAAAGGAAATCCCTGATTTCAGTGAATAAGAAACAGGTACATTTTACATGGTCATCCCTACATACATAATGTATGCAAATGAAACAAGTCTCACCAAACACAGTGAAACGTGCTGGGTATGATGCACTTACTTTCCTAGTCAGTGGGTTATTTTCAACAAAGCTGATCGTATACCGTGGACTGATTTCATCACCTTTCTGCCTCACTGTAGGGGAAAAAGTTAACATATAAGCTGATTATAATCTGTAAACACACCCTGATGCCAACACTTCTCTTTAGTCTAGTGAATATATGACTATCTTTGGTTTAGTCTGTTTTCCCTTCTTTTTTTTTGGACCAGCGATCGAACTCACGACCTTGCACTTGCCAGGCAGGCGCTTATGCCACTGAGCTAAATCCCCGGCATGTTTGTTTTTGAAACAGTGTTCCACTATGTAGCCCAAGATGATGGGGAACTGTGACCCTGCTTCAGCCTCCTGAGTGCTGAAATTAGAGGTGTGCACGGCTATGCCCAGCTTTTTATTTGTGAGATGCGCTCTTGCTGACCCAGGCTGATCCCCTTTGTCAGCCTCTCGAGTGCTGGGATTACAGGTATGTGCCAACACGTTCAGTGTGACTAACTATCTTAATTTATTTTTCAAACCCTGGAAGAGAAGTACGGTACAAAGAAATTGTCAAGATCTCACTCATTTCTGTTTGTATGTGTCAGTAGGAAGACTGGAGGGTTGAACCAAGGACCTTTGTACTGGGCTACATCCCTAGTCCTTTTATAACTGTTTTCAGACAGGGTCTCATTAAGCTGCCCAGAGTGGGCTCAAACTTGTGACCCTCCTGGCTTAGCATCCCAGAGTGTAGGGATTACGGGTATGTACTACCTCAGCTAGCTCTTAATCTTCTCATTTTAAAATTTGTACCTACAGGTTTTTGTGGCAGGGCTACGACTTCTTGTATGTTAAGCAAATGCCCTGCCAGAGCTCCATCCCCCATACACCTACACACTGTGACACATATCCAAGTTACACAAATTAAAACTAGAAGCTTCATGGGGCCAGGAGTTTAGCTCAGTGGCATAAAGGCTTGCTTGGCAGATGCTAGGTCGTGAGTTCAATCCCTGATACAAAAAAAAAAAAAAAAAAAAAAAAAAAAAAAAAACCAAAAAACTGGAAGCATCTTCATTCACCTAGTGGTTCCAGATCTGAAAGACTCCACTGGACCACACTCTGTGACTTTGGACCCTTCCACCACAGCAAACCTTCTTGCTTAGAAAAATTATTAACTCTTAGATTACTGTAAACCAGAAAACAAATAAACATGGCAGCTCAGCACTGGACATTATGTTCAATATGATTTTATTTAGAAATTTGCAAAGCTGAAGGAGAGATCTGATCTTTTGTTAAAAGAAAGCACTTTTCACATCATATATTTAGCCATTTTAGCTTCTGAATAACAGAAAAGGCAATTTCTCTTCAAGATCCTCATTCCACACACGGAGCCAGGTGCCCAGCATCTTGCAGGAAAACAGCACATCACTGCTCAGAGGTGCGCAGGGACCCTCCTGCCGAGCCCAAGCCCGAGCCGGAGCCCGAGCCCGAGCCCGAGCCCGAGCCTGAGCACCTGGCCTCTCCTCCGAGCACACCTGAGAAGCTACCTTCACTGCTCTGCACATGGGCCTCTGAAAACCCTTAAATTTTAAATTGGAAAAAGGTGAAAGGGTCCCTTAACTCACTGCCCATAACAAATCCAACTGCCTGTTAATTCTCGGCAACTACAAGTATAAAATACTTGAAATTTGTAAGATGTTCCACACTGAATGGAACACCTCAAACATTAAAAAATTAGGTAAAGCAACATGTTTTAATCTTTTTAAAATGCTACCTAATAAAACTTATCGAGACAAGATACGCAGCCTGTTCTCGTACTTGGTACAAGAACTCCAATACTCCGATACTCCAATGGTCAGAAAAGTAGAAAAAGAAACCAAACATCTAACAATGCCTTTGGGGAATGTTAAGTTTTAAATTTTGTTATCTGAAGTTAACCTCAAGGAAAAAAACAACACTCAGTGTCAAGCAATGAGGTAGATTTTTTTTCCTCTACAATGAGATGAAGATAACAAAGAATACGCACAACTTCTAACTTCTCTTTTTAAAAAACCTCAGGTTGCAGTCACTTTCCCAAGCAGACGTTTATAAGCTGCAATGTGGGGCAGTCACACTCTGACATGTTCGGTACTGCAGGTGTTACTTGCGGGTTCAATGATCAGCCGTGGGTCAATCAGCTCTCTCCAGAAAACAGTGATCTGAGAAAAAATACAAAAATATTCAGTTTTAGCACTGCATTTTGAGGTCATCTAGGCTATAGTAAGTTAAAAAATTTTAGGTTAGTCAAGGAAATTTCCATTTATACAGAACAGTTCAAAAACTAGGATAATTTAGTGCCATGAAACTGAATTTGAGCAGAGTATAAGAACTCACCTAGAATGCAGGTAAATTTTACATCAAACATATTTCATTTTGATTTAGAGCATGGGGTGTAGGGGGTGGAGAGGCCAAGTAAGGTTGGAGGTTATAAGGAGTCAAGATCCCGTGACCTGCAGACTCTTGGGAGCTAGAGGTGACTCAAGCTGGTGTCATGAGGTTGTTTTCCCTCAGCTGTCCTTCCTGTCCTGTGCTGCCTAACAAAACTGCTACAACTCACTTAGAGAAAGCAAGGCAGCCTTGGCCACATGGATGACTAATGAGAGCCATCTAGTGTCAGCCACAGCCATTACAAGCTTTCTAGCATACTTCAGGCCTCTTTAAAGAGCATGGGAAGGCCGCCAAGGTTTATTTTCCAGTGCAGTTTTGCAGGAATACATTTCAACAAAAAAAAATGGAGCTTATCTATGCAAATAAAGTACAGGAGACTGGACCAAATGTGCTGACCCTAGCAAAAAGTCTAAAAATGTACTCGGATAAATCCCTACACATGGCATCAACCCTAAAAAATGAAGGAAAGCAGAGTCTGGTCAGGGTTTCTATACATTTACAACTCAAACAAAATGTGAACCTTCAATATAGAAACTTACAACATGGCGTTCCAAGTATGAACACCCTAACAGCTTCTTTTTTTTTTTTTTTTGAGATACAGTCTCACTATGCAATCGAGGCCAGCATCAAACTCAGTGATCCTCCTGCCTCTGCCTCCCAAGTGCTGGGACTACAGCTGTGTACCACCATGCCCAGCTTGAGAGAGCATTTGCTTAAGTGTAAATCCGTTTCTTTACAAGCTAGCCGCAGCCAGCCACTCTGATAATTTATAGTCTAAAATGGCAATTTAAAGGACAGACTTGTCCTTTTGTGCCATTCTTTATACCACCTCTAAGAACTACAGCGGTAGCAGTGGCAACAGAGCACATGAGACTTCTGAGGGTCACTCAGGATCTGTCCCTTGATCTGAGTCTGGTTATGATGATCACCTGTGAAAACTGTCTAAACCATATACTCTGTGCCCTTCTCCACATGGCATTGCCAATAAAAGGTTGTATGCTACTCTCTTCTACTGAAATCTCTATATAATTTTTTTTTTTTTTTTAAGATAGGGTCTCTATGTAGTTCAGGCTGGCCCTGCATTTGCTATGTAGTCCAGGCTGATCTTGAATTTGCAGTGATGTTCCTGCCTCAGCCTCATAAGTGCCAGGGTTACAAGCATCCCACCATGCCCTGCTTAACTACAGTTGTAAGCAACTCTATCCCTTTGTTGTTTGAGCATCTTGTCACATAGCTTCCTGGGATCCCTAAAGGCACCCTGACTTGGCACCTGGCACTTGCTACTGCTACTCCACATGGCAGACTAGCTACCCCCGGGCCTTGCTCCTTGATGGTTTATATAAACGCAGTCCAGAGAGCTGCCTTCTGCACCCCAGGCTGTTTGTCAAAAGAAAAGGCCTGGCCAAGCAGCTCGAGAAGAGAGGCCCGCCTACCTTCTTCTCCTGTGTCACAGCATACTCCACCACCTCGGTTCCATTTTCATTGTGATAAACCAAGTCGAATTTCCCAGGTTCCTTCATAGCTAAAACCAGAAGGGAGGAAATACAGTAGGTCATTTCTGCACAATTAGAGTGTCAGTGCTCAGGGAATTCACATCATTGGGAAAACCGTCACAACAAACCCAACTGATGTGAAGGCTGCGCGTGCACAGGAAATCATGGAACGCGCAGTTACAGGAGGCCTCGAAGAACTCGGTCCCAGCAACAGCGAGCTTCCCAGCCATTTATCAGAACCAATTTGTCATTCATCAGAAAGAAAGGAGCTTGGACGGTCACTAGTACTCCCAGAACAGAATGTGGAACCACAAGATAATCCCAAAAGAGAGCTGTTTCACAAGGACGCTGACATAAATCACTGCTCTCTCTTCAGAACCTACATGCCTACCCCTGGGGCAAACACTGGTCTCAGCCTTGCACACAAGCATGGGCTCAGAAGAAGGGCTGCACAACCTGAAACCATGCCCAGCAGACTTATTACTCCAGGGGAAAATTATGATTGTCTGACAATCTAAAAATCTGCCATCAAATCATTAAAAACCTGTACTGTATGAGGATATGAAAAAATGGTCAAAATATTTACAGATGCAAACTTTACTTCTTGGCGCAGTTGGCACAGGTGCTCCTCTTCAGGTGTGAGATGCACTATGCCAAGCCAGCACCTTTCCTGCACCTTGGAGCAGCTGCGGGCAGTTCACCTTCCAGGGTCTCATGTCCTGAAACGGCCCTGAAAGTCTGTTTCTCTTTACACATTGTGGGATCTCTGGGAAGTCTTTTGCTGGCGTCTCTTCTGGGAAAATTTTAACCTGTATTCTTGCCACTGTCCCCGTTCACACGAACAGTGGTGGCAATGTTTCCACCATTTTGCTGTTTCATCTGTAACTCCTTAAATTCTACTTGGATGCACTTCCAGCACCCTCCCTCTCTTTTTGTTTCTCCTCTGAGCTTTCATCTTTGTGGGACAATTCTGCATTTCAGTTATGCATTTGATTAAAAAAAAGTGCTTTTACAAAACATCCAAAGACAGGGAGGCAGCGTACCTGCCTACACTGCCACCTGCTCGCAAAAGCTAGATGAGGGGCCACTGACCACTGCCGGCCCTTGAGAGGAACAATGTGATTGGCCGACAACCGTGATGCCCTTGCTGCTTACATAATGGTTCTGCTGGCTGCAGCCTTATCAGTACCTCATGTGGTTACCATGAACACATCTGGGACTGTTGTTTGGGGGAATAATGCTATTGAAACCTGGGCAACTGAAAGTCACATCAGAACTAGGACTACTTATATTTCTCATACAGAAGAGAAAGTCATTTCAAAGTGCCTCACAGAAGCTGGGTGTCATCACTGACTCACGTGACATGCAGTGATCGGGTTGTGTCCACAGAATTTGGCCATCCACAAACCTCTCTGTCCACCATCCCTAAAAATGGGGATCTCTACAAATGAAACCACATCAGAACAAAGCTGGAAAACTGATGAAAGTTACAGCCAATCATCCACTTAGTGTCATGAAGGGACTTTGCTGAAAACTTTTCACTGATTTGTATTGAATTTTCACTGATTTGTATTGAATTTTTGTTTATTCACTACTTAGCAAAAACAAAAACCAGAAACAATTAATTGCTTTTAAGTCTGCTGAATGAAAAAGTATCTCCCTGCCCTCTGCTGGGGACCCCACAACACATTCCAACTTAAGCTCTCTGTAGGAAAGGCCCTTTTATTCCAGATTTTCAGAACCAGACAGGTGGCACTAACCAGGGACGATGCAGGGAGATGCCAAGGTAATATGTGACTGGTGAGCACACGCAAGGCCCGAGTTCCAACCCCAGCACCATCACACATAGTTAATAAAAATCATATGTGAGAGTGTTATTTTTGCATACATCACAGTCTATTTTGCCTAAATCTACAAAAGTATATTTAACACTCTCTTGAAACAGAGATGAGTAGATCTTATGAGTTCACGAAGTAGAGTTGTTTTTCTTTTGTAAACTATACCCCCAATGTATTGTCCAAAATTTCCAGTTCTGAGTGTTTTGTTTTTGTTGGTTTTTGGGGTTTCTTTTGTACCAAGGATTTTACATTGAGCTACATCTCCAGCCTATTTTTATTTTTTATTTCAAGACAGGGTCTTGCTAAGTCATTGTCTGGGCTGGGTTGAAACTTGCAAGCCTCCTGCCATAGCCCCCTAGAGTGAATCCCACTAGTACATGTTACCATACCTGGCTAATCTGAAGTGGATTTTTTGGTTTGAATTTTTTTGAGACAGTCTCATTATGTAGTTCAGGCCAGCCTTGAACTCACTATGTAGCCTGGGCTGGCCTTGAATTTGCAGTGATCCTCCTGTGTCAGCCTCCTTGGTGCTGGAATCACAGGCATGCATCACCACACTTGGCTTGAAATGATTTTTTAAGTGATGCAAAAATCAAAAACTTGCAGGGCAATCTAAGTGCAGAATCTTTCCAAGTTTTTACAGATGACCCCCCACTTATATATAATTTAATAGTACTTTTCCCATAATGCTCCTGAGTCTGCATTCAACTTAGGTTACCTAGAAATATTCTTTTTGCAATCAGTTTTACCAGCATGTATAATCTTTTATACAAGCATGTCGTTACAGTGATTAGAAAAATTAATCTGACAGCTTAGAGAACCAATCCAACACCAGTTAGAAGACTGATGTCCCAAGGAGAGGAGCACAGGCCCTGGGCTGCAGGGCACTAATGGGCAGTGGAAATTGACAATCCCCGTTCACGGTGGCCAAACGGAGGCCAATGAAAAGGATGCCTCTGCACAGGACTGATCAGAAGCCACTGTAAATATGAGGAACCTGCATTTTTGTTGGTTTCTACAAGACTCACCAGGTAAGGATGACAGGATTTCTATATCTACTTGCTGGGTCTCTGGATTATGGCTCAGTAGTTTTCCTTCCTTGCAAAAACAAAAAGTTCAAGTCAAGGATCAACATGTAAAACACTGGGAACACACTAAAAAACTCAACCAATCTATAAACTTTAAAATGCTTAACATGATAAATTTTATGAGATGTGAATTTTATCTCAATGTGCTTGCTTAGCATTTGTGAGACACTGGGTTTGATCCTCAGCACTGTTAAAAAAAAAATTATAGGATGAAAATACTTATAACTTTGTGCCTGATTGCTATTATTTTCCTTCAAAGTTTAAAGTCGTGAAGGAATGAACACAGACCAGGATTTAGCTCAGCAATGTAAGAGCCTGTCTGGCAAGTGCAAGGTTGTGACTTTGATCCCCAGTACCAAAAAAGCCAAAATGAAACAAAAAAAAAAGACTCAAATTTAGGGTTGGGGAAGTAGCTCAGGGGTAGAGCCCCTGCACCACATACACACACACACACACAAGATCCAGTTCATCATTTTCATTTTGTATTCTTCCCAGGGAAAAAACATTGGGAGACTTTATAGTGATATTAACAAGTTTACATTTTAATAATTTTGTTTTGTTTTTTGAAGTAAGGTCTCACTAGGTAGTTCAGGATGCACTTAAATTCACTATGCAGCCAAAACTGGCTTGAACTCATGGTGATCCTCCTGGCTCAGCCTCCCAAGTGCGGGGATTACATGAGTGCGCTACCACATCTGGTTCCATGTTGTCATTTCCTAATTTATTAATTATTTCCTTCTTAAAAAACTATAATATCAAAAATCCATAATATCCAATCTATTAGTATTAACTATAACTTTAGTTTTATTATATTGACAACTGGATTTTTAACAAAATTCCTTTGTAGAGGCAAGGTCTCACTATATTACCCAGGATGGCCTTGAACTGCTGGGCTCAAGCGATAAGCAGGTAGATGTCACCATTCCCAACTAACTTAATTACTTTAAAACAAACAACCTTACCTTATAGTCGGAGACATCAGGAGAATAATCAGACGTTAGTTCCAAAAGCTAAAAAAGAAGACAAAACCCACAAGTATACAAGTCCTCTAATACAGCTGTATTCCCTGGCTCCTCCCTCAGGAAAACACACAGCCCCAAAGGTGTCCCCTCTGCTGTCCAAGGCTCTACCCTGAACCCGTGACAACACCGCAACCCCCAGGGAGAAGGGGTCTTCTAAACAGTCTGCTTTAACATTGCCTGCTCAGTGCATTCCCTTGGAGGGGAGCTAACCTTTTTTGCTGTAACTGTTGCTGATGTAAAATATACCTTAAATGCAATCTTTTCTCCAACTTGTGGGGCAGCTGCTAAGAGTGGTAACAAATTATAGTCCTTCTTGGGTATCTCTACTGGATTCTGAAAAACACCACCAGTCGGGGACTTGGTTATTCGGGGAGAAGTGGAATAGGCGAGGGCAATGTGGAGGCACCACGAGAGGGGAGGAGGGCCGCACCATAAATACTGACCTGGATGATGGTGGATAAATTTGTTGCGGTCTCTTGTAGTTGCTGCTGTTTCAGATTCTCAGAGTTCTTAGTCAAGACACAGGACAGAACATGGCCTCGTCCTCGACCTCTCCCCCGAATGCCCCGTCCCCTCGGCCCCTTCCAAGAAAGAAGGTCCTCTCCTCGACCCCACCCTCTTCCGAAGCTGGGCAGAAGGCCAGGTTGTCTGTCGTGGCTTTGGTCAGAAGCCTTCCATCCCAGGGCCCCCGTCACCACATGCGAGGGCCCCAACGCCAGACCGCCCCTTCCTGCCAGCGCACCGGCTGTCTTTGAGAAGCTAGCCCCTTGCTCTGGCACCTGCCTGGGGGCCTCGCGCTCATCGTCCGAGTCCGAACTGGAGTCCGAACCAGACGACAAGGAGGCCCTGGTGGTCTTGTCCTGGCCGGGGCCCAGGTTAAAGGCGGCTTTCGTACACGGTTTGCTGGCCACCATGTGCTTCGTAGTGGGCCCTTCCCTTGCAAAGTCAGCTGCCGGTTTCTCAGAGGAATTCTCAGCCTCCGGAGTGGCATTGCTGCGCCCCTCACTGCCCAAGCTGTGAGAAGACTCAGACTCCGAAGAGGAGGTGGCACTGTCCTTGGCCCCCGCACCTGCCCCGCCTTTCCTCCTGGCTTTGCCCACGCAGTTGCCAGTAGAGCCTTTGGGGGGGCTACAGTTGGGGGTGCTCCACTCTTTTACGGCCTGTGCTTTCAGAAACCTGTGGTTCTTGGTCTGTTTCTTACACTCGCGCTTCTCCTTCTTCTTTGGTGACTTCTTTCTGGCCTCTCTGTCATCATCTTCCACTGTGTCACAGGCTGCTTTGCTTTTTCGCTTGCTTTTTTTCCTCACAGGCTGTTCTGGGACAGCTTTTAGGTACAGCTCTGAGACCTTGCTGTTGCTGCCGCTGGTCTCTTGCCTCTTCCAGTGCTTTTTTGAGAGTAGATAACCTAGTTCGGTTTCTTCATCCTCTTCCAACTTAGAAGTCCGCTTCTTGGCTTTCACAGCTGATAAGTGAGTATCACCACCATTGCTGACTAGGACAGAAAGTTCAGGAACAGCAATATCTTCTAACTTGACTCTGTTGGAAGAAGAGCAAACACTACAGTGAGCAGATTCAAAACCCGGTCTCCAGGACGAAGTTATCTGCTAATGTCACTACCACCAATCTCTAAAACATCACCAAAGGCCAACAGACTCCTTTTGACAAAATGGTCCACATAGTATCACTTGTGGTCAAGTTGCATCTGGCCGGTTTTATTTCCTAAATATCGGCTGTGCCCCAGATGTTTTCTATACACATTCCAGGACCTAAGTAACATCCCAAATAGGTAACTTTCAGTTTACAGGCTGCAAAATTAGAGCTCACACAGGCAATCTGCCCAAGATTCACAGCTGGTAAGCAGCAAAAAGGCATCTGAACCTCAGTTTGTCTAACTTCAAAACTCACCGTCTTTCCATTACATGTACAGCACTTCCCTTGTAGTTAAAGAAAATGTGGGCCATTTGTGTACCGCAGAGGGAGAGAATCAGACCCCACAAGGAGGTGATCCCCTCCTGGAAACCAGCACTATGTGTAGGTCACTGCCAGAGTGGAGACAACCACACCAAGCCTCTCCATGAGTCAGTGCCATTCTCAGACTGCAGAATGAGAGAACCAGGCCTCACCAGGAGGTGACCCCAGCCTGGAAACTGTATCAATTTCATTGTTTTCTTGGGTTGGGTTTTATTCTCTTTTGTTGTGTTTATGTTAAATCTGATTCCATGAGCAGCTAGTTAAAAGACAGCAAGACATATGATGGTAGCCACTTTGGGTTTACTATTTGCTTATTTTGAAGTCCTTTATTGCATTCTTTATTTTTATTGTTTCTACTCTATTCTGTTCTGTCCCATTTTTAGTATGTCCAAAGGTATGTGCAGCTATTTCAAAGACAACAAAAGGCATTATAGTAACTATTGCTGATTTCATAAGATTTTGAAGTATTGTATCACTTATACTAGTTTATTTTGATTTGTTTTATTGTTTTATTTTCCTTGGTTTTATCCTCCTTAAAAAATAAATAAAAAGAAAATGTGCAACATATAAATATGGACACATACATACATAATGGAATCTTACTGATTAGTCACCTATGGAAAGATAAATTCCATATGTTCTCACTTACACGTGGAAGCTAAAAGGTTATCTCAAAGAAGCAGAAAACAGAATGCTCAATGTCTATGTATGCATATGAACTGGAACCTACATCTTATAAATCAGATCAGGGTAGCTGGCACATCTGAACTTCAGATGTTTAGCATTTGTGGGAAATCCTCTCGCTAGTCGTTTGGAAATGTTCAATTAATTGCTGCTAACGTAGCAGTCCTACAGCGCCACAGGATATTAGAAGTTATTCCTTCTACTTTGGTACTATCCTTTCCCCTAGGTTTATCCCATGTTCTGATGACCACTATTCTATTTTTCACTTCTTTAAGGTAACCTTTTAGCTCTATTTCTCTAGAGAGCCCAATATAATAATATACATTTTAATCGAAGTTTATTTCACCATAGGAAAGCAATTTTCTTCCCTCAACTGGCAACACCTAGGCCTGAAATGTGCAGTCTGATGAGAGAAGGCTTGACAGTCCTTTCAGTGCTCCGAAGTGCTCCCTGAAAACACATTACACTCATAATGCTATTTATATACAGCTATACAGTCCATCAAGTTTTTCTGTAAACAGGAAAAGATGCAGACAATCACAGTTGAAAATAAACTATAACTGGTAAATGAGAAGAACATCTGAACATTATAGGCATTCTATGTATTTTTTTAAAGATAGTAATCCCTATGGATTTACCTCTTCCATGTGGTATTTGGAAAAAAAGTCTCAATTATTCCTCAGAAAACACAACTATAAGGAAACATACAAGTCAACGAGAGCTACTCTTCTTTCATCTCAGCCGCCGACAGGCCATCCAGACTAAGGAAGGCCTAGGGGCTTCGGGGCTTGTGAGCTGAGGCCAGGGCTATACTGGCAAGCACCGGAAGCACCGCAGGCCAGGGGAGTGCTGAAGGCTGTACCACCACAGAATCAACTTGGACAAATATCACCCAGGTTACTCTGGGAAGGCTGGTAGGAGGCTTTACCACTTAAAGACAAACCACAGCCTCTGCCCAACTGTCAAGCCTGACAGATTGTGGACACTGGTCAGTGAGCACACATGAGTAAACGCTGCCACAAACGAGACTGGGGTGTGATCCCTTGGGAAGGGAAAGCTCCCAATGCAGCCTGTCATCGTGAAGGCCAAATTCTTCAGCACAAGAGCAGCGGAGAAGATTAAAGGTCCCCTGGTGGCTTGAAGGCACAGGATAGGTGGCTCATTAAAATGCTAACAAATGATTTAAAAAAAAAAAAAAAAAAAAAAAAAAAAAGGTACTAATAGCAGGAGTAGAATAAAGAAAGAAAATTCTGAAGGACCAGGGATTTAACTCACTAAAACACATTCCCTTCTGTTTCTAGAAGACCCCAGCATAACAGTAAGGAATAAATCTGGCAAAAGTTAGTCTGGCATGTTAAAAATCCCAGAATATCAGATTTCTTTTCTTAACTTTTTTTTTTTTTTTTTTTTTTTTTACTAATTTGCTTTTTCTTATAGCAATGCTATGATTCAAATTTCTATTCTGAGATGACCAATTAGAACCAAATTCTCTATCAAACCTCGAAAACAATACCAGACTTTCTCCTCAGTCATTGGAGTTTATTAAATCACTGAATCACAGCACATGCTGCGTCCGGTTTAGGCAGCAGCCCTGCCTTTTCCCAGAGTTGACAACACTAGCAGGCTTTCCAGGGCAGCTGTTAGCATCACCTCAGCCATCTTGAAGAGGACAGATCTCTGCACATCTGGCTGAGAGGCATGCCCAGGGGCTGCGAGGGCCTCAATACTTCACTGTTGCCTGCTGGAGCTGCTGAAGCTGAATGTAGGTGCAGGGCTGTGGCATGGGTTAACTGAGAACAAGGAGGCCACAGCTGAGGACACCAGGAGACTTTCTCCTAGATAGTGGTTTGTTTTGTTGTTTGTTTTTCTGTCTTTTTGAGACAGGATCTCACCATGTAGCTCAGGCTGACCTCGGGCTTGCTTTGTAGCTCAGGCTGGTCTCCAACTTCCAACAATCTGCCTGCCTCAGCCTCCTGAGTGCTGGGATTACAAGGAGTGCGCCACCACACCCAGCTAGGATAGTTCTCCTTAATTAGCATTATCTGGTGCTTGGAGGGGGTACTTGAACCTCTCTCAAGATCCTGCTCAAGTTTCTTGTATATTCCATTCTAACTCCTTCGTCTGAATAAATACGGGCCATCCAGAGACCTTGTCTGTTTCAGCCACCATACTTAAGAACCCTGCAGAGGGTTTTGGTTCCCCTGGAGCCCTAAAGATTATACCATTTAGCTCATTCATTTGGGCCTTTGCCATGCACTCGTTTGGGAGATTGAGGATCTAGACCCCAATAGTTCCCAAAGTGAATTTCAGTTTAGAAAATGTTCACATAAAGCTGGGGATATAGTTCAGTGGTAGAGTGCTTGCCTATCATGCTCAAGGTCCTGGCTTTTAACTGCCAGAATTGGTAAGGAGGGAATAAGTTAAGACAGTGAAGCAAAACGCCACTCAGAGGACAAGGCCTGGTTCCCAAGTCTGCTTAGTTTCCAATCCTTTCTGGGGACACGTTTACTTAATAATGTTCATTTCTCTACACGGATCACAACAAACAGAAACAAACAAACAAAATTGGATATTGCCCTTTTACAAACAAGTGAATTATGTAGGTAATTAGAGATGGAAAGAAATTGATTCCAAGGAATTTCTAGAATAGATCTTTCACTTTTCATTCTAACTCTTTGCAGGGCAAACAGGGCAGTATTTTCAAAATGCAAGTGCCTTCTTTAGATCTGCAGTTTTGCTTATAATGTTGAAAAATCACTACCTCAACAATTCTCATCTGTAAAAATGATAATGATGATAATGACAGTACTCAAATGGCCTACCATACATTATAGCATACCTGGCTCAGGGCAAGTGCTAGTTGAATGGCAGCTCCATTTTTTTTTTTAACACAATGAAAGCTGTTAGTCCTTTGACAGACATCGATGGTGTTATGTTTGTGTCTAGATGTTACCCCCTCAAAGCCTTATGGAGTCATGGGGGCAGGCTTCCAGAGTTTGTGAATGATTCATGGTTCAATGCTGGGATTATGTGTATGAGTACTACACCCAAGTGAGTGTGACATACACACAATACAAGGGACTGAAAGTTTTTTCTGCAAGTTTCTCTATTTTTGCTCTTGTTGCTTTTACTGACTTCTGGCTGCTATGAACTGTTGTCCTCTGCCATGTGCCACCTTGCCTTGGACTGACTATGGATTGAAACCTCCACAAACTGTGAGCTAAATAAACCTTTCCTTCCTTCATTTTGGGCATGTGGTAGTCTCAGTAACCAGAGAAAAGTAACCAAGACAAATGGGTTTTTAATGAATGTGTCCCATTGACTGAAGATAAAACTCAACAAGATATGTACAAGGGGGAGGCTTTACCCCACTGGGCCTCACCAGCTACTTTGCAACTGCCATCCTGCCTGGCTGAGGCTTGAAGTGGCCACATTATCACCTTTATGATTAGGAATCTGAAACAAAGAATCCAAAACCTCTCAAATTTAGTCTTTTCCTAAGATCTGCTGTTTACCACTGAAGCCAGCTGCAGACATATTTTTCATTTTACAGTGTGAAGATCAAACCCAAGGATTATAGCAAGCAAGCACTCAGCCACTGTGCCACATTTGTGGCCCTTGAAGAAATATTTTTGCTATATGCAATTGTGCATTTGAAACATTTAAAAGACTCTTGCCAGCATCATGCTGTAATCATTAGTTGTAACAGCTTTCATGTTTGTTTTTAACAATGTTATTTTTATTATACAGTATAATTCCCAGATGATTCATAAATTGAAATGTAACTGTAGTGAGCTAGCAGCAAGTCCTTAATTTACTAGGCAGAGGAAAGTTCAGAAAGCAAATTCAACTGGGACATAGCCCTTGATAACTGTAGTATTTAAATAGCACCTGAACTACAGAGAGAACCTAGACAATAAAAAGGGAAAAGAATGCTTACTTCGAATTGTTATTTGAAACAGCTGTATATTATGTAAATCACAATGTTCCTGATTTAAGAGTGAAAAATTCCCTGATCTAAAGAAATTTTATCATTCAGATATACTTCAGGGAAAGCAATATTCAACAACAAAGGGAGCCAAGCATAGTGGTACAGGTCTGTCATCTTCACTACTTAGGAAGCTGAAGCAGAAGACTACAATTTAAGGTCAGCCTGGGCAACTAAACAAGACACTGCCACACAATAAATAATAAAAGGTCTGAGAATGGAGTCAAATGGCAGAGTACTTGCCTACCATGTCCTAGTCTTTGGGTTCAATCTCCAGCACGGCAAAACAAAACAAGACAAGCAAGAAAAAGCCTGGTTCACCACTCTAGGATAAATCACTGAGTAATCAGGCCACTATAACAAATCTAAACTGACACGATCCCATCTTATCACCTCCTGAGACAACTCAATCACGCAGGCAAATCTCGCTATTATTGCTCCTGGATACTCACCGTGATATCAGTTTTTATAATCTCCAAAAGCATCTTTAAAATTATTTTGTGTGTTCGTAGTCACAGCGGAAAAGGACCCTATTTGAGGAAACCTCTAGGTGAGACACAGAACGACACAACCTGAAGCCTCTGGGGTCGTGCCAGAGGGCCTAAACTGAACAACTCACCATTAGGAAAAAAAATCACGACTGCTCCTGTCGGTCAATCTGGTGTCCTGTACCCAATCCCAGATCAGCCCAGGCAAGAAACACAGGGCTAAAAGAGGATCCGCTAAAACACGGCTCGAAGCGCCACCCTCACTGCTCATTAGCATAAGAGCCGTCCCAAGCCTGGTCCACCCTCAAATCAGGAGCATCCTAGGGAAGGGCAGTAGTTAGGAAGCAGATTCCCAAGACTCACACTGGACACCCCACCCCAGGTCTCCGCACGGGGCCGCCCACGGTCCAGCGGCCAGGGACGACCCCGGCGTGCGCAAGCGCGTCCGCACCCCGCTCCCCGCCGCCGCGCGCACCTGAGGCAGTCGTTGTCCCTCACCAAGCGCGCGCTCTCGGCGGGAGGTAAGAGCCCCCCATCCAGGTAGAGGCCTAGGAGGGCGCCAGAACTGAAGCCGAAACGCTGACGGATGAGACTAATGAGATCTGTGACGACTCGGCATCTGTTCATGTCTACCAGAAGCCAGAAGACCGTACAATGCGGGGTGACTGGAGGCGGATAGTCAAATTGAAGCCGAAGCCTAACCATCTCGGAGGCTGCCATGTTGCTCCTGCTCAACGGAGGCCGAGAGAGACCACGGGGGTAGCGAGAGGCGCGTTCCAACGACCCGCCCCTCGGGGCCGCTAACCTGCGCCGCCTAGCGGTGGCGAGGGGCTGCTACAGGCTTTGTCCCCTGTGAGAATTTGGAGCGTGAACAGGGCTGGGGAAGATTATAAACGAAATCTTTTTATTTCTGTCCTATCGAGCACTATGTGGAGTCAGAATTTCGGCAAGTCGCTGTGATAAATGTCTTCTAAGATAGTTGCTCATATATGTAAAAAGTTTTAAAATGATCACTTGGAACATAGTTAACTTTGCCATACCGTTGAAAAATATAATTCCTAATTCATTATCAATATTGACATTTTAAAATAAAACCATTAATCACTTTTCTAAATGCATCCAGTGGAATATAAATACCTTAGGCACTGGATACCCACTACCACTCACTAATTTAGGTAAGCAAATCAGAAAACCTATATTGTTCCTTTACTTCCTGATCTAGAATTTCCATTCCTTTTATAATACATATTAACTCCTCTAATTTCATGATAAAATGAGTTATGAAGTGTATCCTCAGGAGATTAAAAAACCCAAGATCACTAGCCTAATAAACAGATAGCTAGCCATCAGTAGATACATCGAAAACAAAGGTTAAGGCTGGGCGTGGTGGCTCATGCCTGTAATCCCAGCGCTCAGGAGGCTGAGGCAGGAGGATCATTGTGAGTTTGAGACCAGCCTGGGCTACAAAGTGAGCTCAAGGCCAGCCTGAACTGCATAGCTTGAGACCCTGTCTCAAAAAAGACAAAAAAAAAAAGAAAGAAAGAAAGAAAGAAAACAAAGGTTAAGCCGGGTGTGGTGGTGCAGACCTGTAATCCCAGTACTTGGGAGACTGAGGCAGGAGAATCCCCCTGTGTTCCAGGCCAGTGTGGGCTACCCATAGTGAGTTCAAGGCCAGTTTGAATTATATTAGCAAGACTATGTCTCAAAAAATTTTTTTTAATTTTAAAGAGCTTGTTAAGGATTTTTCCTCCTTTGGGCCTAATCCTCTAGGTCTTCTGAGTTGAATTACCATCACAATTATTAATAGCATATAAATGATCAAGATAACATAAAACAGAATACATAAGTATCCATAAATGGCAATTTTAATAGACATATAAAGTGGTGCCTTGTGTGTTTTTTTAAATTAGGCCAAGCAGATAAATATTACATGAGATAGGGCTCCAAATCAATTATAAACCTATTTTGTAGATGTAAAGTCCTGCAATTTGCTCCTAGTAGTATCGTAGATGACAATGGAAGAACTTACATTTTTGATGGACTCAATCAAATCCTATCTCTACTTGCAAGTGATGAGCTAAAGTGACAGAGATCAAGTTTAAAAGATGATTCTCAGCACCCCAGCAGCCAACAACTCAGCTTTTTGTTCCATTTGCTAATAAAAACCAATTGAGAGTCACCTGACTTTCAAAAGCAGATCATTCAGCCTGGGGATGCCGCTCAGTGGTAGAGCTCTTGCTTTGCATGTACAAGGCCCTGAGCTCAATCCCCAGCACTGCAAAAACAAAACCAAACAAAAAGCAGGTTATTTACTTTCTTAGTGTCTGGGATGGCATGGGGGGCTGAAATGGCAGAAAGCGAGTTTATCTGCCGGGAGAGTATGGTTGCTGGGAACCAAGCCTCTCACCCCATTAGGTTCCTCTGAACCAGCACTTACTAAATGGCTGAAACATTCTGCTGAGGCTGAACTGCATGCAAAATGAAACAGCGTGCTTTTGGTGTGGGACACTCACACACTCCTTCCTAGTGGCCTGTCATGCTTTCTCGGCGTTGATGAATACTGGGGGCCTTACTGTGAGCTTGAAGGGCCTTCTGCGAGAGCCAGACTAGTGCACCATGTCAAACTGACTTCTTTCCTGGGTGACTACTGGCACAGTACAGGTGCTCCTGGTAGGTAAACAAAGCTCAGGCTGACTCCAAAGAAAGCTTTGCTGAGTTGCTTGTTTCGCTCAGCCATAGCCTTTGCAGGACCTCAGCCCTTCACCCGCAGCGGTACGGCCCTCTCTTGGACTCACCCACAGCTCTCTTGTAGGGTACCAAAAACTCGTAACTTTCCTGTCCTCCTGGCCTGTTGGTTTGTTCTTTTCCTGCTCACAGAACTGGCCTTCCACATGCCGCAATGCCCGTGACCAGAGGCTTTCGTGAAATTTAAGTGATTATAACCCAGTGATTCTTCTGTTTAGAGATGTCTGGTTTACAGAGGTCAAATTAGAGAAAATTGGGGCAAAAATAATAATTCTATAAAAATGGGGATTGTGGGTGGGGCTTGGTATTATTCCGTTGGCTAAGATCAAAAAGCTATCTAGTCATGACAGATGGACAGAAAGACAGACAGCTATGAACTATCATTATTTACTAGCAATTTAACTTCACAGAATCAGTTACAAATAACACACTTGGCAGAACTGGGAGATTGTATCAACATCTAAAAACTGCAAAGAAACAGAAATGCACCTATACTCGGGCCTTTCCTTTGCCCCTAAAAATGATTTTAAGTGGTTTCGCCTGTCCTGTTTTTCAGTCCTGCCTCATTGCCTTGGTCAAGCATATTTATAATCTGCCTCCGCCATGAGCAGGGTCAGGAGGACTTCTTTGTGATTTCACATCACCACTGTTGGCCTATTTGCACTGTGGTCATTCCACTGGCCCTAGGAAGAGGAAAGGCCCATGACTGAAGCATACCTCTGGCCATGTGCCCCTGCCAAGGCCTCTTCCAATAAACTCCTCATCTTTGGTAAGTCCTCAGTGGCGTGGCAGGAGGTTGTGCTCATTCTGGTCCAAGTTCCCTTAAAAATCTATTTTCCAACAACTTCTCCATTAGTTAGAGCCTCTTGGGCTCTGCAGAACTACATAAAAGAATAATATATTCTAAACTTGGAAAAAAGCAAAATAACTGCCGGCCTATTGACGTCACGGCATCTGCGTAGCATTTCTCAGGAAGCCTGCCTGGCTCTCTCATGAACCCGCGGTCAGAGTGCATCTGGCCAACCATTGACCTCATCAAACTCAGATCCACAAGGGAGGGAAAATTCAGTCACCGCACAATTGTTCAAAAGCAAATATAACGAGTGTCAAGAAAGAGAGGCTGCAGGCACAAGGTCGTGAGTTCAATTTCTGGTACCAAAAAAAAAGAAAAGAAAGAAAGAGAGGCAGTGCACAACAATGCATGAAAAGGGTCCTGGTCTTAGCCTAGCCTGCGGTTTGGGAAAAGCTTCCGAGGAAAGAGACATTATTACTGACCGCTGAAAGTTCCACAGAACTAGACTACAGCCAGGAAGAAGCATGCCAGAGAGCAGTCCACAGGGACAGTGCCTGCGAGCACAGGACTGCAGAGACCACAAAAAAGTGTAGGGGTAGCAAGACGAGACCTCGCGTCCAAGTTCCAAGAGGCTCCCAGCATCTTACCAGCTTCCCAAACTCTTCTCAAAAGAAACATCTAATTTTTCAAAATATACCATGTTTGCAAACACCATCTGGAGAGACATTCCGCACCTCTTTTTCCCAGTCTGACTGGCTTCCCTGCAGCCCTAGTCTGCTTCTCAGCTGTTCCAAAAGAACAGGCTTCCAGAAGTTCAAATGGAGCCACAAGCATTGAAAGATGTTACATAGGGCTGGGGATTTAGCTCAGCGGCATAAGCACCTGCCTTGCGAGCAGGCAGTCATGAGTTCGATCCCTGGTACCGATAAAAATGAAAAAGACAAAAAAAAAAAAAAAAAAGAAAGATGTTACACAGCCAACATCCCATGAGAAAAGGCTCCTCTGCCTCCTCGTCCAGCCTGGATTCCCTCCCTCGGGTCTCCCCACACACTGCCCACCCACACTGCACCTCTCCCTTTTTCCTTCTCTTGAGTCCTGAACAGTGCAGATTATAATTCACCTTGGTTGTGAATGAAAGCCCCGGACCATGAACTCCACCTCCTAACTTCAACGAACCAATTATTTTTCTTAAAAACCCCTCCCATCCTTAACATTAGAATTTTTGTGGTTGACATTAAGATAATAAATCCTACTGTATTTTTTTAGACAGGGTCTTGCTGTGCAGTTCAGGCTGGTCTTGTGCTCAAACTTTATAGCTCAGTCTGGTCTCAAAGTTGCCATGATCCTCCTGTCTCAACCTCTCAAGTTCTGGGATTACACTGAGTGTGTCCCACCATATTCAGTTAATAAATCCTACTGGAGGTTGAGGCAAGAAGATTGCCCCGAGTTCAAGGCCAGCCTGGGCTCCATAGTGAGACCCTGTTTCAAAAATAAATAAATATTTTTTTAAAAAAGACAGTGAGTCTTAATCTGGGGTCCAGAACATTTGTTTAGTCCCAGTGATTTTAAGTAGTGCCAAAGAAAAATGTTAGTATTGCCCTAATAAAAGATCTCTAGTGTGGAAGGCAAAGATAACAGTGAGTCTACTCACTTCTAGTGTGGAAGGCCAGATAACAGGTGCTGACACACTCGGACACATACAGAAGTGGCCATCATTTGGTGAGGCATGGGTTACAGGAGTATTCTGGAGCTGCCTTTGCTCATGTCACCAGCAACATCTACCCTGAAAACAATATTGAATTAGAAAATCGGTGAACTAGTGTGCATTTCACAGTCAAATGTTAAGACATTTGAAAAACAGGCTTTAACCGGGCATAAGGGCCTACGCCTATAATCCATGCACTGGGGAGGCTGAAGCAGGAGGATCACTGTGAGTTTGAGTCCAGCCTGGGCTACATAGTGAGTTCAAGCTGGCTTCAACTATACATCGAGACCAGGCCTCAAAAAAAAGGCTTTAAAATTATACCAGGAAAGTCGGGGATTTAGATCAGTAGCACAGCACTTGAGTTTAATTCCTAGTAACAAAAAAAAAAAAAAAAAAAAAGAAAGAAAGAAAGAAAGAAAGAAAGAAAGAAAGAAAGAAAGAAAGAAAATCTACTGAGAGTTGGGTGTAGTGGCAGATGCCCATAATCCCAGCACTTGGGAGGCTGAGGCAGGAAGATTGTTGTGAGCTCAAGGTCAACCTGGGCCACAAAGAAAGTCCAAGGCCAGCCTGAGCTAGAGTAAAACCCTGTCTCAAAGAGACAAAAAAAAAAAAAAAAAAAACTACCAAGAGTCTAGTATTATTTTTTTTTTCCTAGTTAACTGTATAATTTGTTTCGTGATTTTTGTTGTTGCTTGGTTTGTTGGTTTGCTTGAGATGGGGTCTTCCTATGTAGCCCAGGCTGGCCTTGAATCTATAATCCTGCCTAAACCTGCCAAATACCGGGATTTCACACACGTGCAATCACGTCCAGTTTTTCCTTACAGTGAAAAAAAATCTTCTTACAATATAAAATTTTTCAGATACATTGAAAGTTTGAAAAGACACTTTACTGTGAGCCCCCACTCACTCCCCCCACTGCACCACTAGTATCTTGCTCTGACAGTTCTTTCACGGTATCTACGCATTCCTGCGTGGGTTATGGGGGAGTGGGGAGTGGGGGCAGAGTGCTGGGAGTTGAACCTAGCATCCTTACAATGAGCTACATCCGTAGCCCTTTTTATTTTTTATTTGGAGACAAAGCCTTGCCAAGTCCCTAAATTGCCCAGGCTGGGCTCAAATTTAAAATCTTTTGCCTCCCAGGGAACTGGGATTACAGGTGTGCACCACCATGCCTGGTTTATTCATTCCTTTCTCTTTTCATCCATCCTTTTTTTTTTTTTTTTTTTTTTTGTACCAGGAATTGAACTCACAACCTCGGGCTTGTCAGGCAGGTGCTGTACTGCTGAGCTACATCACTGGCCTCATCCATCTGTGTTAGATGCTAGCTGCACTTCAAAGAAAATTGCTGACTTTGATACACTTCCCCTAAACACATCAACACGTGTGTCAGCAATTAGTGGTAAGTTTTTGTTAATTTTTTTCCTTTTGAACTAAAATCATCATATTATGACATGCACAAATCTTAAATTTACACTTGCTGAGTTTTGACAAATGCATATGTCTGTGTAACACAAAGCCTCGTCAAAGGTTGGTTACTATTATCCTAGGAAAGGTCCTCATATGCCTCCCCGCCCAGTGCCTGCCCCCACCCTCATGGGCCAGTTTGCAGCTGGTTTTGCTCTGGGTTTTATAAGGCAGCTCTCTGGCCCTCACCTGTAAACTGAAGTGTCACTACTAAATGTAAATCCACTCCATGACCTAAAAATATAATTTAGTGTTATTTATACAATAGTATCACTTTTAGAGAAATAATCTCAACTATGCAGGACATTTTATGCCAAAATATAGATGTTTGTTCTGATGTTATTTATCTCTTTATGTATTTATTTTTGACACAGGGTCTCCCTGGGCAGTTCAGGCTGGCCTTAAACTCACTATGTAGCCCAGGTTAGCCTCGAACTCGATGTGATCTTCCTGCCTCAGACTCCCAAGTGTTGGGATTACAGACGTGGGCCACTCCTCCAGGCTTCTGGTGTTATATTTACAGTGAAAAACTGAAACCCTAACTGAAACAGTAACTACCACAGAATGGTTAAGTGTGTGAGGTGCTAATGATACAGGGCCAACCTGAAATAGTAGTTTAGGGTACTGTTTGCTACAGAATTCTTTTGACTAAGGATATAACTGGTGTGTGTGTGTGTGTGTGTGTGTGTGTGTGTGTGTGTGTGTGTGTATGTGTGTGTTACTGGAGCCTGAACCCAGGGCCTCATGTTTGCTAGGCAGGCACTCTTTAACTGAACTACAGCACCAGGCCAAAGCTGTAAATTTTTCTTTTTTTTTTTTGGTACTAGGGATCAAACTTATGACCTCCCACTTGCCAGGCAGACACTTGTGCCACTGAGGTAAACCTCCGGCCCAAGGTTATAACTTTTAAGTATCTTCCAATGGTTGTCCAGGGAATGACCCTCTCTGAGAAAGGCACTATGAGACTTCATCTTCTGGGCCATCCCATGTTGAAGCTGGAGAGAACCTGAATGAGTGTTTCATTAAAAATAAAAGATATTACAGCCCGATGTAGTGGCATGTGCCTATAAATGCTGGCACTCATAGAAGCTGGAGACAAAAGAAGCACAAATTTGAGCCTATCCGGGCATTTTAGCAAACGGGTGAGAAGCTGTCAAAAAAAATCAAAAGAACTGCCGGGGATATAGCTCAGTGGCATAAACGCCTGCCTGGCAAGTGCGAGATTGTGAGTTCAATCCCTGGTACCGGGAAAAAAAAAATCAAAAGAAAGTGTATATCGTAGCTTAGTGCAAAGGTCATGGGTTCTACCTCCTAGTGCCATATCAAAAAGCTATAGCTATTTATATATATATATATATATATAATATATAATATATCAATAATATATATTAATTGCACAGATTAATGAGTTTCATTGCACCATTTACACATACCATACCTTGATCATATCCACCTTCCCCCACCCCCAGTCCCTTTCATCTTCCCCAAAAATCTTTCTACTATTCTCAGGTCACACACATACAAACAGAAAATATAAACCAGGTGTGTTGGGGCATACCTGTAATCCCAGCATTTAGGAAGCTGAGGCAGGAGGATCCACTTCAAGGTCGAGACCAGCCTCAGCTCCAATCTGAACTACACAGTAAGTCTGCCTCAAAAACCCAGCAGGGGGTTCTATCATATTTGACTAGGTCTGGTTTATTTTGCTTAGAATGATCCACTTGGGAGCCATCCATTTTCCTGTGACACGGACTCATCCTTTCCATTGCTGAACCCTGCTCCATCGCATATATGCGAGTACAGCACTCAAGCTTTATCCTCCCATCTGTGACAGATGCCTGGACTGATCCCAACCGCAGCCATCTCCTCCCCTCTCTGTCTTCCTTTCTGAAGGCTGCCAGAGGCCCTCACCAGGAAGGCAGGGCAGGCAGGGGTGAGCCTGCAGAAGGGGAGCAGAGAAAAAGGAGTCAGGGCCACACTTACTTTGTCTTCCTCCTGTTTTGTCTCTTTGGGTTTTCTACATGCACATGTGAAACAGTTATTCAGAAGTAACCTGATCCTTATATAGTTCATACTGGATCTCATTTCCTAGGTCTGTAAGGAGAGTTACACACACAGCAGCCATCCACTTCTCCTTCATTCCCTGCCAAACCTCCAGTGCACTTTTATAGTGATTGAAAGTAGTGTAGCAATATAGAATAATGTTGGACCACAAACTATCATAAGAGATGAAATACATTTATTACTGTGTGTAAAAAGATTAAAGGAGCTGGGGCCTGACATGGTGATGCATGCCTGTAATCCAGGCACTCAGCAGGCTTAGTCAGGAGGATTGCTGAGTTTGAAGCCAATCTGGGCTACAAAGGGGGTCTGAGGCCAGCCTGAACTGCATAGCGAGACCCTGTCTCAAAATGACAAAAAAATTATATATATATATATATATATATATATATATATATATACAGTGGCACATACCTGTAATTGTAGCACTCAGGAGGCTGAAATAGGAGGATTGCTATGAGTCAGAGGTCATCGTGAGACCCTGTCTCAAAAAATGGGGAAAGACTGTGAAAACATACCCAAGTGTCAGTAATCTTTTTTTTTTTTTTTTTTTTGCCTTTTTGAGACAGGGTCTCTCTGTTCAGTTTATGTTGGCCCTGAGCTCACTTTGTAACCCAGGCTGCTCTGGAACTGGCAATGATCCTCAAGCCTCAGCCTCCTGAGTACTGGGATCACAGGTATGTGCCCACCACACCAGGTTCACTAATGCCTATGTACGATCTACAAGGTTTTCACATTTTCAAAATATTTGTAATATATATAATTCTATTTTTTCATAATATATATAATTTTGTAAGAAAAATGAGTTTTAAAAAACCTACATCTCTGACCATGGAGTCCCACAATTGCCAAAGACCACCATGCCTGGCAGACACAACTTTTAAACCTTTGAGTTCTTTTTGTTGGAGAAGGTAGAGACAGGCGAGGTAGGGTGGACAGTGGTTATTTCCCTGTAGTTTCTCAACCTAGTCGCGCAACTGGAGTTAAATAAATGCATTAGCCCAGCGTGATGGCACATGCCTATAACCCCACTACTTGAGAAGCTGAGGCAGGAAGACTGCTGCGAGTTCAAGGCCAGCCTGTGCTACAAGTTCAAGGCCTAAAGACCTATCTACAAAGCAAAACTCTTATCTCTAAAAACAAACAAAAAAAAAAATTTTTTTTTTGGCCACGGCCGAGCTGGAGAAAAACATCCCTGCCAAGAAAGTCAGGTCTCCCTATCCAAAAGCATCTTTTCAGCGCCTTCTCCCCACTTCCAAGTCCCTCAGTAAAATGATTTGGTCCCCCCAAAAAGGAATTAATTGATTAATGCATTAAATGCCTCCCCACATAATCAAGCGCAGCGCGCTAGCAAGGATCTGGTCGCCCTGCCCCAAGAGGGCGCGCTGGACGCTGTACCTCGCTTGCGTAGACCCGCCCCTCCCGCCCCGCGCACTCCCCGCCCCCTGCCCCGCCCCCGCGCCAACCCCGCCCCGCCACAAGACCCATAATGCCCCGCCCACGTCCCACCATCACGTGACAGGCCCAGCTCCAGTGTGTGGCGGTGGCCACCGCGGGGTATTCATCATGGAGCTGGCGCCGCGGAGCTGTCCGGTACCGCGGTGGCTGCTCCTGTTCCCGCTGCTCCTGGGCCTCAGCGTGGGTAAGTTCGGCAAAAGGTGTGCCAGTGGCTGGTGCCTCTTTCTGTCTCCGAGGATGAAGTTTTGCTAGTGGCTTTATGTTTTTTAAAAACAAATGTCTTTTCCTGGTTCTTAACCTCACCTAATTCTTGTTACTGTTGAACCTCGCACTTTTTTAAAAATCCAAGTGCCAACTTGTACTACGTATTGAGACCCTGACTCAAAAAAAAAACCCAAGCAAACAAAAAAAAAATTTACGATTTGGGGAACTGCTGAGTGTTTCGTCTTCATTCGGCAGACTGGCTCCTGGTCTAAATCCAGACTTGTGATCTTAACCAAGTTGCCCAGGAGTTCTTCTCATTAGTAAAGTGGGGTCATCTGGTCCTCTAACTTGTGTCTGGAACTTGTAAAGTAAGCTACCCCCCCCCCACATACACACACATTTGAACAGTGGGCACTGTGAGGGAAGGAAGGGATGCCAGGGTTTAGGTTAAGAGCGGGGACTGATGTGAGCCTTATTTGGCAGTTTACTCTTTTGTTGTTTTTGTTTTTTGAGACAGGGTCTCACTATGCAGTTCAGGCTGGTTTTAAGCTCGCTGTGTAGCCCAGGTTGGCCTCTAATTTGCCTGGATCCTCCTGCCTCAGCCTCCCAAGCACTGGGATTACTGGCGTGCACCAGCCTTATTTTGGAGGGACTCCAGCCTTACCTGTCATTTTCAAGGAGACTAATCCTGTATTACTTCACAAGACTCTTAGAGCTGTATCTGTAATTTTCTAGCTATTCTGTTTCCCTTCCTGGTTTGGTTTCTTTTTTGTTATTATTCTTCCCTTTTTTCTCTGACTAAAGAGGCTTGAAATTTAAGAAAAGAGAACTAGAAGGCAGAAAACTCAGTCTCCGGGTCCTTCTCCTGTCATCTTTTCTCCTCTTCTGACAGATACCACTGTGTTGCCCTTGAACTCCTTTCTGCCTCAGCCTTCCCAGGGACTGGGCTGCACCATTTGCCACCACTCCTAGCCGGTCTCTTTTTTTGAAACAGGGTCTCGCTAGGTGGTGCAGGCTGGCCTTGAATCCAGTACGTAGCTCAGGCTCACCTTGAATTTATAGCAATCCTCCTTCCTCAGACTCCCAAGTGCTGGAATCACAGGCATGCACCTAAGATGACCTTTTTTTTTGATAATCAACCGGTGGTTTTTGAGAAAAATGATGCCGTAATTTGAATGTTGCTACTTCAGGAAAAAAATGACATAGAAAATGTACTTAAGTTGAGCTGGGTGTGGAGGTTCATGCTTGTGATCCCAGCATTTCAGAAACTGAGGTAGGAGGATTTTGAGTTCAAATCCAGTGTGGGCTACTTAACAAGACCCTGCCTCAGACAAATAAAAAGTATTTTACCTTCCCTTTTCCGATACATGTTTGCAGATATAAGAAAAGTTAACTAAGGAAAATTGGATTGGAGATTCCAGTGTAAAAAAAAAAAATCATTGAGTTGGAAAAGTTGTAGAGCGCTTTCTCTATGTAGGGCCTTGGGGTTTGATCCACAGTGCTGCAAAAACCAAAACAACACAAAACATTACAGAAAGGTGCAGAGGAAAAATTGGAAACCCCAGCTTGCTCTGGCTCTATTTCATTTGGCTTCTTTTTCATGACTAAGATTCTTTTTTTTTCTTTATCTCCACAATATTGGAGAAGGTAAATTGCCGAGAATATAAATATTTTCAGTAGGTTTGTTGACCGTGTGTATGAGGCTTGGAATCCACCTGGATATTAGACCTTCTCCAGGAAAATGACCGTGAATTTGCGTTTCAGGAGCTGTCATCAACTTGCCGGCAGAAGAGGCCAAGGAAGTGTGGGGTTATGTGACTGTCCGCAAAGATGCCCACATGTTCTGGTGGCTCTATTATACAACTAACTCCTATAAGAACTTCTTAGAGCTGCCCCTGATCATGTGGCTTCAGGTAAATACCTCCTTCCTGGCCTCAACTGGAGACCCACATCTCTCACTCTTACCTCTTCGCTTGTTCACAGCTCAGCGGGAGGGACTAAGTCCAGCAGCCACGCCTGGAGCCCTGGCATCCTTCTAAGGGGAGGCTGAGGCCAGAAAGCTAGCCTGCTGACTTTCAGTGGGGAAGGGTCTTTTTATGCCGATTCTAGACAGTTGCAGGAAACTGTACTAAAGCTGCCAGTAACACATTTGACTCTATGCCAATAGAAACTTTTGAAAAGTTCCAAAGCAAAGACTGAGGCCGTCCAGTCTCCCTCCGCCCACAGTCCTTTCTTGGACTTTAAGGTCTTGCCCTACAAAGGCTCATCTTTTGAAAGGAACTGCTGCCGGCCTTTTGTGTGTGTCTTAGTGTGAACACGAGGCTCCAGCCTTCTCCTTTTCACACTGAGCTCTGATGGAAGGTGAGGAGCTGTGTGAACCGAGTTTATGGACAGGCAGGGATCCTTCTTGCATTTCTGAATTATCTATCCCAGCTGCAGGCTGGGATTTTAACTGTTTGGCCACCAGCCTCAGGGAAGGGTCAAGGAACAGAAAGATGTAGATAGAGCCCAACAGGGGGCTCACTAATAAGTTGGCTCCCCAGGTGCTTCCATGGATGCAGTACCTGACTTTTCCCTCACAGCCCCTCGCAGACTTCTTGCTGAGCTAGAGCCCAGATAGTTTACAGGAGGGACTTTTCTCAGGCTCTTCATGTAGCCCTCCTCTGGGGCAGTGTGTGAGGCTGGCTCCGATGGCCTTGGGTAGGAAAATGCTCTTAAAGCCCACAGTGTCCCAGGTCTGACTGCTGGTTATGCGCACCCAGTGTGGTTGTGAGGGAGAGATGGGCAAGGATGAGCCAGGCCCTGCTGGGCAGGAGACCTGGGTTTTCGGTGCCTTTTCAACCACTGTCAGCCCTGGCAAGATTCTTCCCTTTGCCGGGCCTTCATTTTGTAAATCAGGGATTTTGGTGGTTTTCAAACTGTCTTACTCAGCAGGACTTTTTTTTTCCATGTCCAACGAAACCTCGCATTTGGCAGCTCCAGCAGAGCAAAGTCAAAGTGCTGAGGCTGGGATGGTTCTGGGGGCTGTGTCCTATGCATGTGGCCTCCTCTTTGCCCCTGGCTGTCCACTCCATACTTTCCTGGCTTTCCAGAAAACAATTTGAAAAAACAGTGAATTTCAGAAATCAAGATCTTTTCTTTGGTTAACTGCAGCATTGTTTAAACTGCAGTTAGTTCCCTGTGTTTTAAAACCAGAATATTTCCTTCCTTTTACCAGCTCAGTGTCCTCAAAGCTACATGGTGTGGTATCTCTGTCAGAGAGCATTAGGGCTCTAGGGGAAGTGAAGCCTCTACTCCGAGCTGATTTTTCCCTGCTCCTTAGTGACCTCTGCCTGGCCCTGGAGGCCATCCAGTCTGTGACCTGCGGTTAAGCTAACCTTTGAGCTGTGAGGCTCTGAAGCAAGCCACCAACTGAAGACAGAAAAATGCTCTTCTCTATTTCCCCAGGGGCCCGGGGGAGAAGGAAAAAAAGAAATGATTACAAAGGAAACAGTTAAAATCCAGAATAAAAGGATATGTATTTTAGCAGCCTACCAAGGGTTTATGCTCTGACTTCTGGGTAAGGTGCAGGGCTCTTTGAGAATTGAGGTCATGTGGAATTGAGGTGACTGGAATAATAGCAAGCTATTTTCAGCAGGCTTTCAAACCTTCAAAGCCTTTCATTTGGTCCACTGACACATTTAGCATCTTCCGGAGGTCCCGGGGTAGCCCTGGGCCCCAGTGAAAACCCCTTGCAGAATTCTGGGTAAAAGATTTCGCAATCTTTTTTTTTTTTTCTTTTGTATTCAAATGGAACAGAAGCTTCTGCTTATCAGTTTTTCCTTGCCAAGGGGGAGAAGAGGCCAGAGAGTCACCTGCCACTACTCTTGCTTCCCTGAAGCAGCCTGGGGAGTGAGATTTCTTTCACAAACACCCAGCCTCTTAACGATTTTCAGATTCCCTTTCATTTTGATTCTGCCCATCACTAGGAAAAAAGTGCCCAGCTTTCACTGAGGATATAGATATGATTTTAATGTATTGCATGTTGCATATTGCTATCTGAGCATTTTCTTCCTCTGTTGCCATGTAAACTTTTACAGTTTGTGATTCCAAATGGCATCCTTATGCATCCCGCAGATATGATTTACTAACCCATTTCCCTATTTGGCCACTGTGGAGTTGCATCCTTACCATCACTGATGTTGCTATATAAATGGCTCTCTGAGGAACAGTTCCCACTCAACTGGTTTGTGAACTTTGTACCCCTGTGTCAGGGAATCTTCGGTTCTTCGGATTCCCTTCAGCACAAAGTGCATACACCCTCTGATTTTATCAGGCCAGCTCAAAATGTTCACATGGGCGGCCCTCTCCCTGCTGGGGTCTCTTGCTGTGATCCAGCCAGCCCTCAGCCCCGCCTCCCTGTCATTTTCTCTGCTTTACATTTCCTGAGCCAAATTGACCCGGCTTCTGTTGCGCTGGAGTGATTATGTCCTTTCATCTTTTCTTCTCTCTTGTTTCCTACCCATCCTGTTTTGCACAGAGGCCTGCATCCTTTTCTTGTAGGCTGAGGGCTGCTTCATTCACCTGGGCTAATAACACTCATGGTGCCCTTCCTCCAGCTCAGCAGACTCCTTTGATTTTGCCAGAGAAACTCCTCTCCCCTCACTTAGTCTGCTGGAGACCACACCTGCCTGTTTCTTCCTCTTCCTTTCTCTGTCCCCAGCCCAGCCAATCAGAGCCATAGAACATCTTCCCATCATGCTTTGGTATCTGCCACACCAAGTTTAAATCCAGAATCCTGCCTCTCCCCAGCCCTCGGATGTCCACATGGTACCAGTGCTCCTGCCTGAGACTTCCACATTTACTATATTGAATATGGAGAATCAGCTTGGCCAAGCAGTACCTCAGTCTGGGTCCCTTTGTCAATCCCCTCAGGGGCTCAGAAAAGAGAATGTCCATTTTTGCCAAGGAGATAATGTGCAGAGGTCCAGTCTCAGTAGACTCCCTAATTGCTGAGTTGCCACCTCCCTATGGCCTTACTGAGATGAGCTGTTTCTGAAGGACTCCTCCAGAACTGAAGAGTCTGCAGGTCCACACCAGCTCAAGCTCCAGACACAGACTCAGGAGGTAGAAAGGTTACTTGGAGGGTCTTAGCCCCACCTCAGTCCTTTCAAAGGGAAGGACTTGAGCAGCTCTCTGGAGCTCTGTGGGTTTAGATATCCCTGTTCACCAGAGAAGCTGGGTCCTTTGTGCAGAGTGACCCAGCCATCCCTAAATCATAAATCATTTTTAATGAATGTGGTCATCCCTGTAGCCAATAAGATTTGACTGAATTTTTTCTGGGTTTTTGTCTCTCTTTCTTGCTCTCTCTCTCTCTCTTTTTTCTCTTGCACAGGGTGGTCCAGGTGGTTCCGGAACTGGATTTGGAAACTTTGAGGAAATTGGACCCCTTAACAGTGATCTGAAGCCACGAAGAACCACCTGGGTACAGTGAGGCCATCCCCTAGTCACACTTGTCCAGGAGCTTCTCAGACTGGGTGTCTCCTGGTCTTCCCCAGGGCGGGTGGGGGCACAGACCTAGCATCCCATCCCACCTGCCTTTCCTGAGGCTTTGGGCCCCTGTGTTCTCTACCCCAGTTTCTCCCAAGTCTCAGGACAGCTTATCCAACTAGCATTTCTTGCATTGTCTACCTGCTCTCAGAAACCTGCTCTGGCAGAATACCCCTTACCCTTCTCAGTTTACTTCCATGCCAAGCTCACACTTGGCACCCCACTGAGCCCCTACTCCCAGATGGGCAAAACCACACACCTGTGAGTCCGGCTCTTACCTTTGCTATGTGCCCTACTCACCCATCCCCAGTGGCAGCTGTCACTGGGAGTGTTCCCAGCTCCCGATCATCAGGAGCTGACCTGTCCGGTCTCTTTGTGTACCTCCTTCTAGTCTTGGCCTGGAATGTTCCCATGCTTCCTTTTTGGTAGCAGTAGCAGAGGACCCCACTAGCAGGCCCCTGAGCCTCCCAGATCTAAGGGTAGAGAAGCTGGGCAAAAAGCCTGAAGAATGAAGAGCCCAGGGTCCAGGCCTAGTCCTGCCATTGCCAGTCCAATCTGTGACATTGGATAAGCCCTGGTCTGGGCTTAGATTTCCTGACCTCTGAACATAGCTGGACTATTCCATTGCTGAGGACCCTTCCAGATACAGAATTTTTTGTTTGTTTATTTGAGACAGGGTATTTGTTGTGTAGTTCAGGCTGGCCTTGAACTGTGTAGCCCAGGCTGACCTCAGATTAGCAGCAATTCCCCTGCCTCAGCCTGCTAAATACTAAGATTACAGATGTGCACCACCACAGCAGACCAGAGGCAGAATTTATAATGCTCAACCTCTTTGGAAAAAGCGGTAAAGTATATCCCTGCACTGGAACCCAGGCCCATGTGGAAACTTATTGATCTGGAAGCAAACTACTGTGTGATGTCCAGCCTCAAGGGGACTCACAGCTGCAGGTGACTGTTTGGGCTGACCCTGCCCTGTACAGCCTGTACCAGTGTGTTCTGCCTGCAGTGCAGTTGTGTATGTCAAAGGGGCCAGTGTACTCTATGATCCCCAAGTACTTGTTCATCTCTCCTGCTTGCCTCATCCTGTCTTGGCTATGATGTGTGTACTCTCTTTTTAAAAATTCCCTTTAACAAGTTTCACCAGCACACTGCTGAGCTCTGTGGCATGGAGCTGAGCACTGAGCAGCCAGGTGATTGTGACGTTCTGCTCTGTGGCATGTAGCTCCAGGCTGCCAGCCTCCTCTTTGTGGATAACCCCGTGGGCACCGGCTTCAGCTATGTGAACACGAGTGATGCATATGCCAAGGATCTTGCTGTAGTGGCTTCGGACATGATGGTCTTCTTGAAGACCTTCTTCGATTCACACAGTGAATTCCAGGTAGGCAAAGACTCGGGAACAGCTAAGTAAAGGTGAGAAGGAGCAGCAAGAGCACGTTCTCCAAACTCTTCCCCAAGAGTTTGCTTCCTGGCTGATTTCAGAGAAACCCCTTTTACTCCCAAGATTGAGTTGTGGGCTTTTGCTTAAAGACAATCTTTAAGCTGGGTGTGGTGGTGGGCTACATAGTGAGGCCAAGGCCTGCCTGAAGTGCACGAGGAGATTTTTTAGCTTCAAATAGTGATTGTGGTGTCAGTATCCTAATCGCCTATGGGGAAAAACATCAAAGCAGGCTTGTTTTGTCTGGCTATTACATGTGTAGAAATCTATAATTTATTTAACTGTAAAGGCCATCACAGTATTTAATTCTTTGTAAATACCTTTTCTTATCAGACAGTTCCATTCTACATTTTCTCAGAGTCTTACGGAGGAAAAATGGCTGCTGGCATTAGTCTGGAGCTTTATAAGGTAACAGGGAAGATGCCTTTGCGGTTGTGGGTTTGGAGAGCACTGATCACAATTGGCATTCACTCGATAAGAGATCCACAGAGTAGAAGTAAGTCTTGGTAGTCAGCGTTAGTAGGGCTGGGCATATAGCTCAGTGGTAGAGCACTTGCCTAGCATGTCAGAGGCCCAGACTGGGCTTAAACTTGTGACATTCTTGCCAGAGCGCTGGGATTACCAGTGTGTGCCTCCACACCCAGCAATGCATACTTTAAATAGGAGGAACTGGATGTGGTGACACGTGCCTATAATTCTAGCCCTTGGGAGACTCAGACAGGAGGACATGAGTGAGTTGAAGGCCAGCCTGGGCTACATCAGGATTCAGGGTCAGCCTGCACTACATAGCAAGTCCCTACCTCAAAATCTAAATAAATAAAATAAAACACAGAGTTTCTTATTTTAAGGCCTCACCTCATCCTCAGGGGTATCTTTACAGATGCCTCCAGCCCTTCAGTGACCTCGCAAAGAGCCTCCAAACTCCTTGGGAGAATTTCAGCCCTCAGGGTGGGGGGAACAGACCCATGCATCCTGTTAGCAAGGCAGAGGGGTGCTAAGCAGCACCTCCTTGCTCTACCAGTGGCCGCAGGAGAGGGCCACTTTGGCTCCTGGCTGGTGTCTGTGATCTTCTGATATCCAGGGATTCTTGCAAGGGCAGTAGACGTCTGAGCTCAGGAAAGGCAACGTGGAAAGCCTGTCTCTGCTAGAAAAAGATGAAGCCCCTGGTGACCCTTGGTGACAGTGTTTCTTGGTTCCTCTTTCAGGCTGTTAAGCAAGGAACCATCAAGTGCAACTTTTCTGGGGTTGCTTTGGGCGATTCCTGGATCTCTCCTGTTGGTAAGTATGTTAAGTTTTAGGCATTTCTTTCCTCCCACTTCCTGGGACTTTGGAATGTGTTGTCCAGATCAGGGAATGAAGCAGCAGAATTTTCTGGGTCTTTGGAGAAGTCAGCATAGAACATGCTTATCCTAGGAAATACCAAGAAATAGAACTCACTTCCAGAGCATCTGCCACTGGGCTTTTGTTTGCATCTCACAACACAGGAATCTAATTTGGCAATTGGGGATGCTGTGCAGGCTCAGAGGTGCTCAGAGGCACCTCTTCATACACTGACCCAGCAGCCTAGTGAAAACTCAAATCAGGCTGCGTAATGCATCATAGAGGCGAATCTCATGATTTTATGTGCTTTGCCATTCTAGTTCAAATATGCATACTTGGCACTTGGGGTGTCGTTTCCATCTGCTGCTCATATTGCAGGCTGTCATCTGGGCTTCAGCCTGTGGGTCTAAGTTTCACAACTGCACGCCTTGTCAGGAGCCCAGATGTTGGGTGACTGTGCTGAGGTGTCAGGTGTATATGTGGCTTTGGATGTCAGCAGAACTCACCTTGGTAGGGCTGAGGCCCCAGGAGTGTCAACCTGAGCACCATAACATCTGGGGTGACCCTAGTTGAGGGAGCTCAACCAGGGCATTGAAGGGGATTTGTCAGAGCACCCCTGGCCTCTGCCATGAGGTATCATCAGCACCACCTGAGTGTGACAGTCATGTCTCCCAATGTGGCTAGATGTCCCCTGTAGGAAGCATCGCTCCTTGTTAGAGCTGCTGTTCACACCAAAGATGACTTCACAGGCAAAACCAAACGTTAGTGTTAGACATCAGAAAAGAAGTTGGCTGTGGAGGAGCAGGGCACTGTCCATGCTGCTGGGCTCCTGTGTCTTGAGTAGTGCATACAAGGGCCTGGACAGCGATCTGAAGGTGCATTGGTAATTCGTGCTGTGTGATTATGGCTCCACTTTTAAAAATAATAATTTATAAAAGGTAATATTTTTCTTACAAAAGTTAAGGATTAGGCTTGTTATAGAGCCAGGTTTCCAGTGGACTTGGGGTGTCCCGAGGCTCCTTGGAATGATTGTTTCCTGACCTCCTGCATCCTGCAGTGCAGAGTCCTGAGTTTCATAAGTCCTGCGTCCTCACTGGGAGCACAAACAAGAGTCGTTAGTGATTCACATTGACGGCCCTGGCCCTCGCGCTTCCTGGTGGGATCTCAGCACAGTTTCAGCATGGCCCTCAATACTCCGCGTGTAGTAATTTCCTTTATCCCTTACAAAACTCCACATGGGAGGTGCTGTTATTATACTAATTGTGTAAGTGACAAAACTGAAACTTAAGAGAGGTTAAGCAACTGGGCTAGAGTTGCACAGCAATAGTAGCCGAGATTGAAACCTGGCAGCAGGTGCTGGAATCTAGGCACTGACCACTAGCCTCTACAGCCTCTGCATAATGATGAAGGGTGGCCTCATAGTGTAAGTGCTGTTCATCCTGACCAGAATCTTCCTTTCTTCTCTTTGCTATGACCTAGCTCACTTTATGAATCTACCTGTCCAGATCTTTTTTTTTTTTTTTTTTTTTGAGACAGGGCCTCATTATGTAACCTACACTGGCCTCAAATCTGTGACATCCTCCTGTCTCAGCCTCCTGAGTGCTGGGATTACAAGTGTGTGTCATCATGCCCAGCAAGATCTTAACCTGCCCTTCCATATCTCCTTTTAAGTTTTACATCATTAGTAAGAAGGCTCTCATCAGATTTTAGATCTCTAGTTATGGAGATAACTATGAGCCAAAATTAATCTCTGGTGTTTTGTTTTGTTTTTTGAGACAGGTCTCGCTATATAGTTCAGGCTGGCCTTGAACTCCCTGTGTATCCCTGGCTGGACTCAAACTCATGGTGATCCTCCTGTCTCACCCACCTGAATGCTGGAATTGCAAGCATGCACTGCCACACCTAGCTCTAAATCTCTTTTCTTTATAGAGCTAAAGAAAAATAAGTATCACTCCTCTGTCCCCGAATCATTCTTTTTTTGAGGAAGAAGTACAGTTAATTTCCACCAACAGTTGTTGAGAGCTGGGACCCAGTTAGGTGATAGGCAGAGAGACACACAGACAGACTCCTTATCTTCAAGAAGGACTTGGGGATGCACAGTCACTAAAGCACACAAGGCGACTTCAATGTTTCAGCCACACACGGCTATGTAAGTCAAAATGAATTAAAATTCCGGTTCTGGTTTTTCAAAGGCACTGTCCACCTTTCAAGTACTTAAGAGATGCGTGCAACTGCTGCCCATCACTGCAGAGCACACAGATACAGAGCATTTCCAACACTGCAGAAAATTCTACTGGGCAGGGTGGGTCTACATCAGAGGCTGGCAGATGCAGTTTTGCAGCCCACCTTGGTGAATCAGGTTATCACTGGAATGCAGCCACACTGCCCATTTACATACGGTCTCTGGGTGTTTGGCGACTGCAAGGACAGAGCTGAGCAGTTGCTAGATTATATATTATCTGTCCCTTTACAGAAAATTTGCCAATCCCTGATCTAGATCAAGCAGGGGAGGGAATGCACCAGAAAACCATAAGTGATTCTGGTGGCATGCACCTATCATCCTGGCACTCTTGAGGCTGAGGCAGAAAGATCCTGAGTTCACAGCCAGCCTAGGCTACGTAGTGAGTTTAAGGCCAGCCCAGGCTGGGCAGCAGACCCTGTTTTGTTTTGTTTTTAAAGCAAACAAAATTTTGTATTTCAAGAAACTGAGGCATAGGCTTGAAGGTTAAGTTGGAGAGGTGACTGCTAGTGAGGTCACAGATCTGTTGCACCTTGTGTTTCTCCAGGTGTCCTCTGAAGAATACCAGTCCATGGGGCTGGGGATTTAGCTCAGTGGCATAAGCGCCTGCCTTGCAAGCAGGCAGTCGTGAGTTCGATCCCTGGTACCAATAAAAAAGAAAAAGAAAAAAAAAAAAAAAAAAGAATACCAGTCCAGTGAGCCCTGCCCTGAGGGCTGTGCTCACATGAATTCTGGAAGTGCTGAACACTGGCTTCACTCCTTTAGGGTCCTCAGCTACATTAAAGCTGCAGTAAAGAAATGTATTGTGCATAACCCCAAAGCATTTAATGGCATAGTCATTTTTCCTTGTATCTACACTGAAATCCTGCAGAGCTGAGATTATTTGACACATGCTTCAAGAGCCCTGGCCGAGGGAGCCATTGAATGTCTCTAAGCAAAGGGATGACATTCTCAGGTGTGCTTTCTACACTGACACCCTTGATACTTTTGCTTGTTTGTATTCTTGTTTTTGAGATAGGGTCTTCCTGTGTATTCTAGGCTGGCCTCAAACTTGTGGCAGTCCTTCTGCCTCAGCCTCCTGAGTGCTGGGATTTGAGGTATGCGCCACTACCTCAGATGAGATCCTTGATACTTTATCGACACGCCACTTCTGCCACTTGTCTCGCCTAGTGACATGCTATGAACTGGTCCAGCCATGCTCGCTATTGTCTTGCTCCCTCTTGCTACTGCTGGGCACTATCTTGCTCCTATGTTTGTCTCCTGGAGCCATTTGCCACCCCCAGGCCTGCTTAGTGTGGTGAAATAGAACTGAACTGGTTGGCAGGACAGCCACCCACGACACTGGAGTCACAAACACGTTAGGCTTCTTCCTTAAATAGAGCAAACAGTATGCTGAGCAGAGATGTGAGGGTGGGGAAGTATTTTAAGCCGTCAAGAAATATTTAAAGCTGTCAAAAAGCATGCAAATCCGAGCCCCCACCTGCACACCCACACCTGCCTTTGGGGATGTGTCACCAGCTGTGAGGCATTTGCTGGGCTGGGCAGGGTCAGAGGAGTGTGCCATTAGTGCCTGGAGCCAGAAGAAAGGCCCTGCCCCTTCACCCCGACTTCCAGCCACCATGTACAGGGCAGTGGCTCGGGCCTAATGGCTAAAGCCCCCATGTCTGTCTGACTTTGGAGGCCAGCCAGTAAAGCACCTTGGGGCAATCAGAACTACTACATACTTAATTTGTAAATATGTGATTTTCTCCAGATTCAGTGCTCTCCTGGGGACCTTACCTGTACAGCATGGTAAGTGGGTGGCTCCTCACCTCCACTGACTTCTCTGGCCCTGACCTCCTCCTGTCCCCAGGAAGAGGAAGCTAGATGACTTTGCCTGGATGGCTGACACTGTTCCTGAGGGACTGATGATCCTCATTAAACGGGACACCCTGAGCAACAGCAAGCATGCTTATTGCGTTTTCCAGGTGTAAGAATCATCCTTTTCAAATTCCCTAGCTTTTCATTATGAAAATGTTCAGCCAGGCATGGAAGTGCATTCCTGTAATGCTAGCACTCTACGAGGCTGACAAAGGAGGATCACAAGTTGAAGCCCAGCCTGGAGAACTTACCGACTTAGCAAGCCCCTCTCTCTAAAGAATGAAAAAAAAGGCTGGGGATGCCACTTAATGTGAAGGCCCTGAGTTCCATCTCCCATACCAATTAAAAAAGAAAAGCTCAAATATGTCCTAAAGTTAAGAGGTCACTGTGAACACGCATCCACCATCTTAGTTCACTTCACGATTTTGCTGATTTTTTGTCAGAGTGACCTGCAACAGTACGTGAGCTTTCTGCCCAAATCTGGGTGCACCAGATTTATGCACCCAAGTAAAGCGAGCCTTTTTGTTCTTGCATTCCAGTCTCTCCTCGATGACGTAGGTCTGGCAGAGGTGTCTGCCATTGCAGAAAAGGTCCTGGCTGCTGTAAATAGCGGGCATTACAAGGAGGCCACCGAGCTATGGAGTGAGGCAGAATCGATCGTTGAAAAGGTAAAGCCTGGGTGTTGCTGTGGGTGCAGGGCCCATGGTTTGTGAGTGGAGAGAGGGGCTCCATCCTGGGTCTCTGTGGAAATCTGGAGATGATTGTGTACCAGATGATAAATCTGATGGGTCTGAGCAGTGCCCTCATGATTCTGTAAGAGGGACTGCGGGTTGCAGGGGTGAGTGGTACAGGGATGGTGTTTGTTGTCACTTGAATCCTTACCAAGTCTGAAGGGACGAATGTGCTGGCCAAGATGAGCCTGCAGGATGTTGTGCATCTCTGGTCTCCTCGCAAAGGCCCACAGCCCTTGAATCTTCTGCAGTTCCTGAGCTGCTGCCTACCCCAGGAATGTGGGCTCCCTCAGCTGCCCCCTGAACCTGCACGATTTTTTTTTTAAGTTGGGGTCTCTCTATGTAGCCCAGGCTGGCGTTGAACTCTGCAGAGCTCCTCTTGCCTCAGCCTCCCAAGTGCTGGGATAACAGGCGTGTGCCACCACTCTTGGCTAAGTCTTAAGTAAATTTACACAGCTAAAGCTCCCCTTGGGAATCTCTCTGCCTTTTTATTTTGCAACTTTGATGGTAGACAAAGAACATGAATAGCTGACTGTACTTCTGTATTTCAGAATGCTGATAACGTGAACTTCTATAACATCTTAACCAAAAGTACTCCCAACTTGGCCATGGAATCCAGCCTAGAGTTCATGCCAATCCACATGCCGATCCACATGCCGACCCACTTACGTGAGTAAACCAAGACGCAGTTAGCCCTGCCTCAGCCTCCCACAATAAACCCATCTGTTTTAAAGCCTTTTAATGTACAATTTGGTATAATGTAGTTGTTTTTAGTATAGCCCCGGACTTGTGCAGTCTTCACCATCATCCTGTGGTAGAACATTTCTGTCATCTCTAGAAGATCCCCAGATCTATTTCCGTGCCAGGCAACCACTAATCTGCTTTCTGTCTCCCTAGATTTGTGTTTTCTGAACGTACTTTATAAATGAAGCCATATGAGTCTTTTTTTTTTTCTCATGGAACTAGGGATTGATCCAGGGGCTCGTGCATGTTAGCCAAGCATCTGTCACTGAGTTACCCGCCTGGACCTTTTTATTTTATTTTGAAACACAGTCTTGTTAAGTTTCCCTGGCTGACTTTGAAGTCACCATCCCCCTGTTCCTTCCAGCCTGTTGGAGTAGCTGGGATTACACACAGGCCTGTGCCACCATGCTTGGCATATGTTAGTCTTTTGCAGATGGCCTGTCATTTCGGGTTGAATTTTGTGGCCTTTTAGCTTCTCTTTAGATGCAGAATGCCTGCCACCACCAGCACCGCCTCCCCCTCATCTGTAATAGGTGAATAAAGGCTGCTGGGTACCCCTGGATTGTATTCTTAGCTGCTTTTCCTTGTTCCTTTTGGATAATCCCAGTGGCCCCTTAGTTAGCACTAACAGAACCTTCTCACTTTTAATCTGATTCTGACTTTCTTCCTCCTTGGAGATAGAGATGAATCGGGCAGGCGACTTTTCCTTTTGTGTCTGAAAGCCTCCCTGGTACTGCACAGCACCCGGGGACAGCCAGGGAGAGAAGTTCCCGAGGTCCTGTGTCCCAGCTCTTGACTCACTTTGAACCGGTTCGGTTTCAGGCCGCCTTTCTCAGCGCCACGTGAGACGCCTACACCAGGGCACCTTAAGTCAGCTCATGAACGGCCCCATCAGAAAGAAGCTCCAAATCATTCCCCAGGATGTCTCCTGGGGAGGTACGTATGTGACCTGACTAAGTGCTTTGTCAACTTGGGAAGGGAGAGGTGCAAATCCAGAGGCTTTCATTTTCGAAGTGAGCTTTGGTGGTGGTGACGGTGTGTGGTGGGGCAAATAATATTACATCCATACTTCATAGATGAGCACGCAGGGTTAGGGTCAGTGACTGATATGTTAGAATAGATTCTAAGGGCTGGTAGGGAAGTGGGTGGGGAGAGACATGACTGGCAATTGGTTATGAGTCAGTAATTGTTGAGGCCTCATTTGGAAACGTAAGGATCATTATCCTCTTCTGTTTATTTTGTCTCAGTTTGAAATTTGAAGGTAAAAAAGTCATGTCCAAGACCACAGTTAGTGGCAGGTTAATTTCTGCCCAAAGGTCCTTCTGAAGGATGCCAGACACAACCGTGTATGTGGATAGGTTTTTGACCAGCACTCTCCTGCTGGGCTCCCAAGCACCCTGTTGCTGGGTGTGGTCTTCCATGGACCACAGCTGCCCTGAAGTCATAGGATGGAAATCCAGCATCTTTAGTGACCAAGGGCAACAAGAAATCTTGAGTAAGTTCTCACATAGTGCAGCCTAAACACATTCATGATGGGACCATAATTTGTGTTTCTTGCTATCAGGTCATTTGTACCACCACTGGTATATACATATTGGATGGCTTTTTATTAATTTTATTAGTTAAAAAAAAACAATAAAAGTGATTCACTAGTGATAGAAGTCGCCCAGTGGGACGGTCATGCATATACCTCCTGGGATTCAAGTCGGGAATATGTTAAGCAGGATCCCCCAGTTCCTGGTGGAAAACACTACCAGAAAGCTGAGCAGGTTTTGTGGGTTTTTTTTTTTTGTTTTTTGTTTTTTTTTTGCCTTTTCCCCGGTACCAGGGATCGAACTCGTGACTGACTGCTTGCAAGGCAGGCGCTTATGCCACTGAGCTAAATCCCCAGCCCCCACAGGTTTTGTGTTTTGTGTGTGTGCTCAAGATGCCCCTGGACTGTATGGTCAGGAGGCCCCTTTCTTGGCTGGCCCCTTGGCAGCTGCTGAAAAACTAGACTTGACCATGGTCCTCACTTCCTCGGGGATCATGGGCCATCCTATCCCAGCCTGCAGGCACTACGGGACTCATCCTAGACATGGTATCCTCATTTTTCTAGATCAAGTAGAAATGGGGGACGTGGTGTCAGAAACTGCAGCGGGTAGACCCAGCTACAAGGAGCTCTCGTGGCACTGGGTGCATGGGGAATCATAGGAGGGCAGGCATCGACAGGCTCCTATGAAATGCATCCTTTCTGCTCACCTCACTCATTTTACCTTCTTGATGGTATTTTTCAGCCCCAGATTCTCTGATTGCAGAACCCTTCCCTCCCCAAGTGTGGCTGAATGGGCAGGACGATTATATTTTTTGCAGCTGATTGTTAGTAGAGAAAACTCTTTGGCTCTAGAGCTGTGTGTGCTCTGGAAAGGACAAACTGCTCTTGGCCACTGTCCCTTGGGTCTTGAGTTGCAGTTGATAGTGAAATGTACATAAGTAGAGCCAACCAGGCCTGAGTTCACGTCGCAGCTCGGCACTGACCGGCTGTGTCCTAACTCGAGGCACGTTAGAAATTAGGAGGTCTTCTTTCCCAAGATAGTGATGAAGAACAAGTGGGAAGTGGGTTATAGGCCACTTATGCAGCCCGACGCCTGGGGAATGAGTGGCAGCTACTAATAGTATTGCTGTCATTAATAGGATGCTATTGGGAAGAATCCAGCAGGAATGCTGTGCTGATTGGCTCTGCTCTTGCCTGGGCCCCACTACCCAGGTGGCTTTCCTGAGGGCCGGCTTAAAATTGGTTTGGGTGTTGTTTGGTTTTTTATAAGGTAGCCCTACTTGTTCAGAATTTGGAACATGGCCCTGGTGTTACTCAGCAGAAAAGGAAAACGTGGACCCCAGAGTACAGTTTCATCCTTGAATAACCTCAGGCGTATCCCTGGGCCTCTGCTCTGCTCACTGCTGGCTCCCAGGTTTCAATTCCTTATTAAAAACAATACCTGCCGTCATCGCAAGCACCCGAGAGAGCACATACGCTCCTCATGCCTTCTCTCCACCCAGCTAGCCCAGACATGGGTCACTGTCTGGGAAGCTCCTGCAGTGCAGCCTTTGCTTAAGTGCTGCGTGGTGGTGACTTCCAGGTGCTAGAGCCCAGGCTGTTTGGACTGAAAAGCACCTCTTGTTCTGGCATATTCTAAGCTGCTGCCTTTCTTGCCCTGTGTAGGCCAATCTTCTTATGTCTTCACGAACATGGAAGAGGACTTCATGAAGCCCGTCATCATCTTTGTGGATGCGTTGCTGGAAGCTGGGATCAACGTAACTGTGTACAATGGACAACTGGATCTCGTTGTGGACACCATGGGTAGGCACTAACTCTAAGGGAGGGACGCTGTGGGTAGGACCTGCCACAGACATGTCCGTCTCAGCATTGGCAATGTTGATACCATGAGGAAAGCCATTTCTTGCTGCTTGAAAACCTTGGCTCTTCAAAGAGAGGGAAGCTGAACATAGCCGTGCTTCCTCAGAGAAGTCTGTGCCCTTCTAGGTTTTAAGGAATCTCGTTCCTCAAAACCTGAAGACCCTTCAGGTTATGATTAAAGAATAATGCCTGCCTCACTACAAAAATTTCTTGGCTATTGAGCAAATGCACTATTTAACTGAAGGGAAAACTTATGTATTAGTCAGTTGCCTATTGCTAGAACAAAATACCTGACATTCACAGCTTTAATGAGAAGAGGTTTGTGGCTCATAACTTCTGAGCTCTTGGTCTGTGTGAGTCTACCAGCTCATAGGCAGAAAGGGCTTGGTGGAAGGCACTCACAGAGCAGAGAGAGAGGAAGGAGCAGGAGAGCCAGATACACCCTCAGAGCCACATGCTCAGTGTCACCTCTGTCACCCAGGCCCCACCTCCTAACACATATAGCTCTGAAGTCATCCAGGGAAGAATCCAGCAATGAGTCGAGCACCCCATGATTTAGTCACCTTCAAAAACTTCACCTCTGAGCTTGAGACTTGCAGGTGATGCTCTAGATCTAAACCACGACCCCTAAGTTTTGCAGTATCCAAGTGGATGTTAAGCACAGCTCAGTGATTAAAACTAAACCTATCAACTCGCTAGTCCTCTGAGGACCCAAGGACATGTAATGTGGAGGTCCCAGATACTGCTCTGTAGCCCAGCCTGCCAGTCATCCGCTCACTCTGACCTCAGCAGGGCCTGGTGGAGGCTTGGGAACAGTGAGGTCCAGGCTCCACCCAGTGCCATGCGCCTCTTCTCCTGCGCTTTGCAAGCTGAAAAGCTTCTAGTTTATTCCATGAGCTGCCCTGGTGAGCCTCATTCAGTCTACATGTTGCTGACACTTCTGCCTTCCTGACTGCCCTCTCAGCCTCCAGAGGGCCTTGCTTCCCTTCTTAAAGAGCAGGGGCAGCAGGACAGTTAGTGACAAAAATAGCTTCACAGCCATCAGCTTTTCACAGCTCAGACATCGCTGGGAACCTGCTAGAAATACAGGTGTTCCAGCCCCACCCAGGCACCCAGAATGCTGAATGAGAATTTGCATTTGAATGAGGCCCGGGTGAATTTTATGCACCTTGGATTGGGAACCAAGTTTTAGGACCCAGGCCTCCCTCACTCAATTCTGTACAGCTAAATAACACTCTTTTTTTTTTTTTTTTTTTTTTAAAGAAACCTAAAGTGATTTACTAGGCAGAAATTTCAAGTACACTCTTAAACAAATACAGTGTGAGGGCTGGGGATGTGGCTCAGTGGTAGAGCTCTTGCCTTGCATGCACAAGGCCCTAGGTTCAATTCCCAGCACCACCACCAAAAAGAAATACAATGTGATTTGAGCCCGCAAGAGAGAGACAGACAGACAGAAACAGATAGAGTCAGACAGACAGACTCATTATCATCTAGGGCTGGGTTTGTTTATGGAACTTGGGGGTATCTTCAAGATGAATCATCTGTGATGTATATTTCCACTGCCTGTCATGTTACCCATCTGGTGGGCTATGTCAGAATGCAGATTATTGCCTGTGTTTGAGCTTGAGATCTGCTGCCCACTAACATTGCTGCTTCCTTGAGGGTGGACCTCTATAGGAGGAAGTAATTTCCAGGTGGAAAACACAGGCCCAGAGGCCAGTTTTTACTGGCCTGTTGATAGTCTGGAAAAGAAGACAAAAACATTAACAAGCCATTGATGCTTAAGCTGTTTTATAACCTGTTAAACAAGCAGGTGCCAAAATTTAAAAGCAGACTCTTGCTAAATAATAGCTCCTAAAAGTCTTAGAAGTCAGAGCAATTAGGTAGCATTTTGCATAAGCCTTTTATCTTTGATATTAGCCTCTATGTGTTTACCCAAATTAAATAGGTGGAGTTTAAGAGCATAGGGGCTCCTCCTGTTTTGCTGATTAAAGAAAAATATAATGTTCTTTTAATTATAACAATGATGAAGCAATACACTAAGTAAAAGTATCTGGTTTTGTGGCCAATGGCCATTGAAAGTTTTTTAGTATGGGGCTTAGAACTTGGATCTGGTTCCTGTGTTGTAGACCAGAAGCATTTTGCAGTGACTGGATACAGATGATATAAAGCTAGTGTTTACCACTGTACAGTTTATACCTCTTCACAGTTTATCCAAGGGGTAGCATAGTTTGTAGTTAGAATATTTCTGTCGTCTATAGACACACCTGAATGAGAAGCTAAATCTTTACCGGAGGAGCACTGGAGAGTTCTTTAGAATAACATAACAGAAATTTCTTAAGAGAGGCTGAAGGACATTATTTTTAGAATAGCTGCTGGGACAGGGGAATCCAAAGCTCCTTATGACTGTGTTTCTGCAGCCTCTCATGCTGGGCCCTGTCCTCTTCCTCCCTCTCACCAGGTCAGGAGGCCTGGCTGCGGAAGCTGAAGTGGCCAGGACTGTCCCAGTTCAGTCAGCAGAGGTGGAAGGCACTGTATAGCGACCCCAAGTCCTCGGAAACATCTGCTTTCGTCAAGTCCTACAAGAACTTGTGTTTCTTCTGGATTCTGGGCGCTGGTCACATGGTGAGAGCGGGTCACCTTTTATTCCAGGCTTAAGGCCTTGCCAAGTGGAGAGTCACAGGCAGCTTATATGTGTGTGTCCACTGCCTCCGTGGTTTTTAGAAGTACTTTGGGCTTGTGAGGTGTTTCTCGAGTGAAATTCTGCTCCAAGTTGAGCATCTCTGGTCCAAAATTCAAAACTGAAAACTCCAGAATGGTCTGAAATTAATAACATCCTGAGCACCAACATGATAGCACATACACCTGACCTGTGATTCCAAGAAGTCAAAACCCAGGGGTGGCAACACATTGAGGAAAATGACCTTGAGGCTGCTTTGTGGAGGTAATATTATACTTCAGTCACATTCTCATTGTGTAGGTGCAAATATTTCAAAATGTGAGAAACTCTGAAATCTACGGACACTTGTAGTTCCAAGCATTTCAGATAAGGAATACTCAACCTGTATGATTGCCTCTTGGCTTTGAATATAAACGCATTTTAAGAGTAAATCCTGCAGCAAGAGTTATGCTGTGCTCCCATCGTTTTTAGTTTGAGTGTCTCAGTAAGTCAACTTTCCTCTTTACAGTTTGTCCTGGGGGAGGAGGAGAGAAGTTGCCGTTCTCTGGCCATTTTCAGGGAGTGAAAACCACAGATGGTTTCTCTGTAAACTGAGTCACACAGTATGCCACAAGAGTCGCTACATAGTGGTGGTCTGGGGATTTGTTCAGAAAAGGCTTTGAGCCTGGCATGGTGGCATGTACCCACAATCCCAGCACTTGGGAGGCTGAGGCAGGAGGATCACAATGAGTTCGAGGCCAGCCTGGGCTACATAGTGAGTTCATTGCCAGCCTGAACTACATAGTGAGACCCTGCCTCAAAAAACCTACATAAATAAATAAATAGATGAGGTTTTGAGCACAAAGATGGGCAGGCCATGTGGTTACCGCATTGTGACATGTGCAAGGTGACTATCCCACTTTCCCTTTGGTATTAGATTGATTGAGTCACTTTTCTTGAGCTGGGGGAGATTATGGAGGCCTTAATCCTGCCCCCATCCTCTGCCCCACATGCAGACTTGCAAAGGAATTAAAGAACAGATGACATAGGCTAGGGGAATAGTTCAGTGGGAGAGCACTTGCCTAGCATACACCGGGCCCTCAGGTTCAGGCCCAAGCACTACAATAGATAAGTGAATAGTCAACAACAGGAGGAAGAGGAGGGTTAGCAGAAGGCAAAATGGCCCCAGGAACTCTCTCAGGCAAACACGTGGGTGTCCCTTAAGTGCTAACCACGTGCCATGCAGGTACTGGGAGCACAGAGATGAATGCAGCCGAGTCTCTGCGCTCAGGGCACTTGTGGTCTAGGGCAGTGTGGTGAACCTGTGGGCTGTTGGTATCCTGCTGCACAGCTTGAAGAAAGCGATGTTAAAATGGGGGTGACCCAGGGAAGTGTCCCCAGCCCTGACTGGGGTGTGGAAGCCCAGGCTCCCCACGATGAGCAGGAGAGAGTTAGGGAAAGAACAGAGGCTAAGGCCGCAGTGTGTGCAAAGCCTGCAGTGGGAGCCTTCAGGGATGGAAGCTGCAGGAGGGACGCTTGTGTCTAATACTCTGGCAGCAGGGGACATGGGGAAAGGCTGGAGTGGAGAGTTGACCAGTGAGGCTGTTATGGTAACACAGAAGGGAAAAAAGTAGAAGGATTTGACGAAGCATAAGGAATTCTTTTAATCAGCTGGGTAGAGCAGTCTGCATCCATGGTCCCAGCTACTCTGAAACCCGAGACAGGAGAATCCCAAAGTCAAGCCCACCCCATGCAACTTTGTGAGACTCTGTCTTAAGATAAAAACTTAAAGGGGGCTAGGGATGCATGGCTCAATGCCTACCATGTCTGAGGTCCAGGGTTCAATCCCTAGCACTGAAAAAAAAGTTCAGGGAAGAATTAGGAGTTGTTTGAGGTACAAAGGAGTGATAAGTTTCCTGGCATCCCCAGGGTGGGCAGTGACTGGTCATGTCAGGTGCTGCTCTCTGTGGACCTGGATGAAGGGTTGGATCACATCCATGATATGGTGCCCCTGGTTCTCCCACAGCCATGGTGGGCACGCTTGGTGGATGGCAGCTCGGCAGGCGGGTGGAAAGGTTGGGGACCCGGAATGGACAGTGAGTGAGAGTAGATGACAGCTTTCCTTTAAGTAAAAGAAAATAGCCCACCATTTAAAGAGAGGACCAACAAGGCGACAGGCACCGGGGAAAGGGGATGTTATTTATGGCTCTGGGGATCTGAGGACCTTTACTGCTGCCTGCGGAAGAGCCAGCAGGGAGTCCCTGTGAGCCACCTTCGCACTGTGGTGCTGGAGTTCAGACCCATTTCCTCTCGCTTTGTCACACACAGAAGAGACCAGCTGGGGACAGGCTTAAAATAGCCCTAGGAGACTGTTACTGAGTCGCCCCTTGCTACTTCTCCTTCAGCTGATTAAATGCCATTTTAGAATGTCCCACTGTGTCACCTCCTGGAGGCTTCTGCTTGGCAGGAGAGTCCAGGACAGGGATGTGCCAAGAGGTCTGGGGCTGGGCATTTCACGGAGCTGGGGGATTTCAGGCCTGGGAGACCATTTCTTTACTCATCTCTCTGTAGAAGCGAAACCAAACCCTCTGACCTTGCCTCTTGTGGTGTGTGGGAAGGTAGTTCTTGGTTTTGTCTTATGTCACATAATGCTGAGAATCAGACCTAGGTCTCACATATGGTAAACAGGAACTTTTCCTCTGTGTTAGCTGCAAAGAGATTCTTTAAAAGATTTATTCCTAAAAGCTTAGGGGAAACAAGAGCGACCGTGCAAAGATTTGAATGCTGTCCAAACCAAGGGCCTGTCTGGTCTGTTTGGAACTGTCCTGGTTGCCTCTCTTTGGCCTCTCCTGCACTTCCTTCCCAATCAGGGGTCCCCCCCCAAAGAGAATCCTTTCAGATGTTCTGTATCTTCCTTCTCCCTTGAGCAGGTGAGGTCCTAGTACCCTGAACGTAGACTCTGTCAGGAAACCAGAGGGCTGGGGCTGTAATAGCTCAGCGGTGGAGCACTTGCCTTGCGCATGTGAGGCTTCCACCCTCAGGCCCAGGAGAAAGAACAGCCATCAGCAGATGTTCCCAGTGGAGGAGAAGGTTCTTTTCTAATAGCCGACTTCCCCAGTCCTCTGTCCCCCAGTGCAGTGGGGGCCCAAGTTTCCAAAAGGACCCTCTCTTTAAGGGGCGTTCTGGGTTGCAGCTGCCCGTACACTTGCTGTCACAGAGCAGGCTCCTTTCTAGGCACAGGGCCTCAAGATGTCGCCCTAACCTCCGCCCAGGGCTGGTGCTCAGAGCACTAACTCCACTGCTTGCCTGCAGGTTCCCTCTGACCGAGGAGACATGGCTCTGAAGATGATGAAGCTGGTGACTCAGCAGGAGGGCTTGGGCAAGCAGGCTGAGCCCTGGAGACAAACACAGGAGCGAGCCACGGATGCTGGAGCTGTGGGAAACGTGGCCCACCCCTGAGTGCAGCATGGTCTAGACTATGAAGCCTCTCCCCGCTCCCACAAAGGGTAAAAGTCACTCCCTCTGCAGCAACTTGGAAGTTATTTCTGCTGTTCTGTTTTGCTTTGGGGGTTTTTTTCCTCAGGTTTTTTGAGACTGGGTCTTGCTGTGTAGTACAGACTGATCTTAAACTCACCTTATAGCCCAGAATGGCTTCAAACTCACAGCGACCCTCCTGCCTCAGCCCTCAGCCTCCCAATCTGTTTTAAAAAAACAAAAAATGAAAAACCAAGTTTTACAAAATGGATTTTTAAAATCAAAATGAAGCATTGCTCTTCCTGTAAAACCAAACAACGTGATTTACTAAAAAAGTGAGAAATCAGTTAAGCAAAGAGCAGAATCAAAATCCATGTGCTCTTTTCCCAGGAGAAGCTCAGTTTCCATCTAGTGTCTGTCCCTGTGGACCTTTTTTTTTTCCTTGCTATCATATACATATTTTTTTAAATAAAAATTGAATCGTTACTCTATGTTACTATATACTTTGGTCACGTATCAGTATGTCCTAAACACCTGTCAATAAATACTCATCCATAATATTGTCAGTGGCTTGTGAACATTTCATTTTGTCATTTTACTGTTTACCAAATTTCCAATGATTCCCTGCAAAAAATGTCTAGTTAGTCACTGCTGTAGATGGTACTCTGGATTCATCCTGATACTTAGGATTTTATGTATACCCTTGCTACTTCTTTACAGTGAATTTGTAGAAGAATGATTACTTAGTTGAAGGATTACCACATTTCTTTAAAATTAAAATGATCAATTTGGCACTTAATTTGTTTTTGTTTCTTTTCTTTTGCTTTTTGAGGCAGGATCTTGCTATGTAGATAGACTGGCCTTAAGTTCACAACATCCCCCAGGCTGGCAGTCCTCCTGCCTCAGCCTCCCAAGTGCTAGGATTACAGTTGTGTGCCACCATATGTGACAGGACTTTTAGTTTTCAGTGCATATAGCTCAAGTCTGCACAAGGGACCCTGTGGTCTCCAAGCCTATCCTGAAAGAAACACCACTGCCGGTAATGGTAGGATTGTTTTGAAAACCAAATCCAAAATCCATTCCTGTACAATGTGAGGACAGACTGACTAACAGATCATACGCGGACGTTATCTGCAGCGTGTGATGTGTGTGCTAAGTCGGCCTCAATAGTTCTGCCATACTCAAGATTCATGAGTCCAGGAGGCCACGGGTCACAGTGGAAGCAGCTCCTCTCACTCCTGGCTTTATCCAGTAGTGGTCAAGTAATAAGCTTTTTGCTTCCTACTCCTGAAATTTATGTTGTTTTGGTCTGGAGGTGTTGGTTACTGCCATGGCTTATATCGAGTGCTGCCCCAAAGCCACATTTGCTCGTAGATGGTGCTTTTGGGAGGTGACTGGACCCTGACTGTAGTGCTGGATTAGTCCACTGATGTGTTACGGCTGGGTGAGATGTTGGGAGGTGGAGCCTGGTGAGAAGAGCTTTGAGGCCACTCCTGCTTCCTGCCTGCCATGCCCTGCGCTCCTCTCCTCTGCCGCGCCCCTCTGCCATCCTGTGTTGGAACCACCTGAACAAGGACTGAGGCCTCTGCAAACTGTGAGCCAAAATAAGATATCCTCCTTTAACTCCTGGGTGTCAGATCTTTTGTTTCAGCAGCAAGAAAGTAACTAAGACAGTTACAAAAGAAGAACTGTTCTCACCCAGGAACGCAGTAAAATTCTGCTGAACTGGAACTTGAAGCTGCCATCTGGCCTCCTTGGGCACTGCACCAACAGGCAAAGCGGTGGCTCAGTGATGGATCCTGACTGTCCTGGTTATCCAGGAGAGACTGACTTGCTGCTAGGTGACGGCTTAAAGAGGAAGAATACAATCAATTTAACAGTCCAGTATAGACTGCTAATGGCCCAGACTTTTACAAGAGATTTGGGTCATTCCCTAAACAGGGAACCATGACCAACTGAGATGCTTGATAAGCACAAAGGAAATATATATAACCCAGGCAAGATAGCACACCCTTTTAATCTCTGCTACTCAGGAGGCTGAAGCAAGAAGATCACACGTTTAAGGCCAGGCTGGTGGTAGCATATTTGGCTAGCATAGGTGAGGCCCTAGGTTCAAACTAAATCACTACTGAGCTACATAACATATATGTAGTAGGTGACAATAGCTGAGATCTTATGACCTGTTGTAGTGATGAAGACTATACTGTAATGTATTTCTTTACTTTGATGCAAATATATTTTAATAATGTTAGGCAAGTTTTTTCTCTCCATCTCCTCTCCAATCCCTTTGTCATCTAAGATGCACTAGTGATAGATAGCTTTATACCGAGTGTGTTACAAGATGTCAAGCAGGAAGTGTGAATAGGCTATGAAAAGAACAAACAATTCAGAAATGAAAAAGGGCCTATAATGTTCTTCTGAGGAGAAGATTAGGGGCTGGGGATTTGGGTTGGTGACATAAGCACCTGCCTGGCAAGTATGAGGTTGTGAGTTCGATCCGTGATACCAAAAAAGGATCTGAAGGAGAAGATTAGTGTGTTTGGGTTGTAAGAGGGGTAGTTGTATCATGGTAAGCAGAAGCTTGAATTGATTACTGTCTCTATTTAGGGATTATGTATGGCTTAAAGCACACAAACAGGCATCAGACTTGCAAGGGGTGGACTGTAGAGTCTTTGTAACATTTTAGCATGGCTACATTGAATTGCATTTTCCAGAATTCCTTTCCTGTCTGTTTCCAATGAGGATGGCTTGTGAGAGAGTCTCCTGGACCTTAGGAGGATGGAAGTAAAGCGGCAGCCATTGTAATCTCAGATATGTGGTCATTTTCCTGCTAACTCAGCTTGTTAGCATCTGGGCTCACAAGCATCCCTTCTTCACTTGGTTCCAGCCAGAGCTTGGAGCCTCCAGGGTCAGACAAGAGTGTTCGGTGCCATGATGGAGCACCCAGGAGTGGCCACAGTGCTCCAGTCCTGTACCCTTGGCTCGTGGACCCACTCCATGCTCCGGTTCACACTGCTCTTATTCTTCACTTTGCCTCCATCACGCGTCCCTAACAGCCTACCCTGCACATTGTACTACAATCTCCAGCATCAGATCTGTAGACAGTGGGCTTGCAGCCAGCATCTAACCAGCTCCCGTACAGCACAAGTCAGATCCCTGTAACACACTTGCACATGTTCACACACACTCGATTCTCTTTCTCTGACTAAATCCTGACTGAAACCAGTGTTTCAACTTAATCACCATAGTGTCCTCAAAATTCCTGTAGCTGAGACCTGGATATCCAACAGTGTCTGTCTGTGGACTATATAGGTGAGCAGCAACTTGTACCAGGCAAGTGCCTTATCAGAACTACATCTCCAGGCCTTGATTAGATATAGTAATCTCTCTCTCTCTCTCTCTCTCTCTCTCTCTCTCTCTCTCTCTCTCTCTGTGTGTGTGTGTGTGTGTGTGTGTGTGTGTGTGTGTGTGAGAGAGAGAGAGAGAGAGAGAGAGAGAGAGAGAGAGAGAGAGATATACTGGAGATTTTGAGCTTGTGATCCTCCTGTTTCAGCCTCCCAGGGTCCTGGGATTCCAGGTGTGTGTCATCACACCTGAGTTCGAAGCTTTCCCTTCATATTGGCACCTACTGTGGCTAAATTCAAACCAACTTGACTTTATCCTTCTGTCTTGCAAACATATCATTTTAGTACACAGATACTGTAAATTTCTTTGTTTCATCTTGCAAATTGGTAACTTCAGGTGGTTGCAATGATGTTTCTGTATTTTAATGAACTTTTTTCTGATACATAAAGCCTGTGTGACCCACAAGTTCAGCTCTTTGGCTTGGCAGTTTCCCAGTATGTATTAGAACATGTAAGATCTTTCTTCCTTTTATGCCCTTTAGTTATTAGGAATCCAGCCAGGAGTCCCAGTTGTCTGTCTCAAGAGACAAGTATTGGATTCTAACAATGGCTGGGAAGTCAGCCTCTCTGGATCTGACTTCTTCACTCTCAAAGCAACCACTGTTTATTAGCTATATACAGAGATACGTGAAGCTAGCAAAGAATCACAGTTCATCCAAAGACTCCATCCTGGAGGGAGTAGATAATCTTTTGTCTGAAGTATTGTGACCTGAGTATAATCCTGTGGTGACTTAAGGAGGAGCAGATGATTTTATGCTCAGAAGAGCCAATGGGAAATCTCAGGTGGGTGGTACCAATAATCCCAGTTCTTCCTTTTATTCCATAGGGAAAAGCACAGACCCAGTCACTGTGAATTCATGATCCCCAACATTTCACTTCCGCTCTAAACACCTTTCTCAAAGCTGCCATCAGCACTGCTTCGTTTTTGGTGTCCCTTAATGACCTTTCTCCTGAAGTCATTTTCCCTAATTATTCCAGGTGCTGGTCTATCTGACCACTGTTATCTTTTCATCTCTTTTAAGATTTTTAATCTCCTAGACTACATGTTTGCTTTAATTTTCTTTGAGAGGAGCCTAAGTATTTAGTTTCCCTGTACAGATCTTTCCAGAGAAGTCCCTTGTCTATTTTATATGCTTGTTATAATTTCCTTTGTTTGTTTGTTTTTTGTGACAGTCTTGTTTTGCAGTGCAGGCTGGCATCAACTCACTATGTAGCCCAGGTTGGCCTTGAATTCCAGCAATCCTCCTGCCTCAGCCCACCAAGTGCTAGGGTTACATGCATGGGCCACCTTGCCCACTGCCTCCATTTGAATTGCAGGGTTTTCCTGGTGTGTTTATGTGTGTGCTTAGGTTTTGTTTGTTTGTTGTAAGGCAGGGCTCAGGTTGGTTTGTTTTGTTGTTGTTGTTGTACCAGGGATCGAACTCACGACTTCAAGTTTACCAAGCAGGCACTTACACAGCTGAGCTAAACCCCCGGCTCCCCAGGTTGGTTTATAATTCACGTTTTTCCTGCCTAAATCTGCCAAGTATGTCGGATTGCAGGGACATGGGCTCCTGAGTTGCTGGGGTTACGGCACCTGTCTACATACACATCTTTGAGGAGGACAGAGTTACATCATTATCTAACTGCTCATCCTTTCATCTGGTTTTGTGTTGTTTTGTTTTGTTTGAGACAGGCTCTCACTGTGTAGTCCAGGCTGGTCTCACACTCAGGTGTGATCCTCCTGCCTCAGCCTCGTGAGTGTAGAGATTACAGGCACGCACCATCACGCCTGGCCCATCTGGTTATTTCTCTGATTGTCCACTTGGTTCTTATGCAAGAAAACCTGGGAGAATAGGTCTCTGTGATCTGTATAGTCTGTCAGCTGCTGAAGCAAGGAGGACACTGGAATCTTGGGCAGATACTTATTCCCTGGGACCTAGTCAGGGAGTAGCAGAATCACTCAAAATTTATGCTTTTCTGCTTCAGGATAAATCAAACATCTTGAAAGTCCAGAGAAATCTTCAGACTCCATATTCGATGAATTCAAGTAGTTTTCTGTTTCTGGGTAAGTAAATTACCCAGAAACATAGTGATTTTAAACCTGACATGGTGATGCTTGCCTGCAATGCCAGCACTCTGGGAGGCTGAGGCAGGAGGATCACATTTGAACCCAGCTTGAG